GCTGGAGCAAGGGCAGAGGAGGCCACAGGGATGAGCAGGGGCTGGAGCAGCTCCCACATGGAGCCAGGCTGAGAACATTGGGGCTGGAGAAGAGAAGCTGCATGGAGACCTCAGAGCAGCTTCCAGTGATGAAAGGGGCTCCAAGGATGTGCATAGGGAGCTTCATCAGGGATAGGACAAGGGGCGATGGGTTCCAAGTAGAACAGGGAAGTTCAGCTTGGAGATAAGGAAGTTCTTCCCTGGGAGGGTGCTGGGACACTGGGATGGGTTGGATGGAGGTGGTTTACATGCCCCATCCCTGGCAGTGTTCAAGGCCAGGTTGGAGCAAGCTGCTCTATGGAAGGTGTCCCTGCCCATGGCAAGAGGATGGAACTGGATGAGCTTTAAGCTCCTTCCCAACTCAAACCATTCCATGATTCCACCTAAGTGTGTTTGCAACCTGCAGCTCCCTGCCTTCTGCAGGCAGCAGAGCAGAGCCAGCAGCTGGCAGCAGCTCCAGCAGGCATCCTCCAGCACATCCAAGGAGGTGCAAAATCCCCTTTTCCACCCCAAAACTCCACAAAGAACAGGTCAAAGAGCCCCCCACGTGAGGCTCCATCACTGGAACGTGAGCGAGATGAACCCTGAGTGCTGGAGGTGTGAGTGAGGCAGGGGGAAGGATGCAGAGCTGCAAGCAGCGTGGCTTGTTTGCCTTGGCACGATCCAGAGGGAACCCGACACGTATCCCAGAGAGCAGCTTGGCTCCTCTTCCCAGCCTCCTCACACTCCCTGCCCACAGCACAAGGGTCACACTTGGCTCCTCTCGCCTCTTAGGGGCTTTGCAGAGCTCAGGAAGGGGATGAAGAGCCCCCAACCCATCCCAAAAGCTCCAGGAGCTGAGAGGTCTGGGCTGTGCTTCCTCCAAGAGGAAAAGTGGTACAAGGCCAATAGGGAGGGTTAAGGGCTTGATCCCAGGCTCCAGGACAAGAGGGAATTCCCAGGATACTCCACACCAATGGGATTCCTGAGACTCTCACAGATGGGCAAGGGCAGGCAGGGCCCAAACCTGCTCCTTCTTCTGCCAGCTTGGCCCACGCTGCAACCTCTGAGCATCACTTGCAGCAATGATGCTCGGCCTGAAGCACCTTTGGGGATGGCCCCAATCCCATTTAGCCCCAGGACAACGACCTCCAACCCAAAATCTCTCCTTGTTGTTTCCCCTTCCAATCCCCAAATTCCCCAAACTGGGAATTGCCAAGCCTTTTAAAAGGAAAGGCAATGAGAAAGAGGGTGCCAGCCCTTTCCAGAGCATTCCAAGCAGATCCTTGCAAACCTTTCCTTGCTTTTTTACTTCCCTGAAAGAGTTCCAGGAGCAAATTCAGCCCTTTGGATCCATCCAGCTTTAAGGAAGATTTATGGGACCAGAGGCAACAAACTTCCCTCGTCAGCAGAGGACACATCCAGCAGCTCATGGAAGAGCAGCTCCAATCCAAGCTGCTTGATGGGATTCCAGCCTCTGGTGCAGACTTATCTTGTTTGGATCCATCCCATTCCAGGAAGGATTTGGCTTCCCCATGGTTAAAACAGGGTTAAACCACTGAACAACAACAATGGGAGCCATTGGCTTCCCCATGGTTAAAACTGGGTTTAAACACCCAAAGCAGCATCAATGGAGGAAGGATTTGACCTCACCATGGTTAAAACTGGTTTAAACCACCTAAAACAGGATCGATGGAAGAAGGATTTGGCTTTCCCATAGCTAAAACTGGGTTTAAACAGCTAAAACAGCATCGACGGAGGAAGGATTTGGCTTTCCCATAGTTAAAACTGGGTTTAAACACCTAAAACAGCATCGATGGAAGAAGGATTTGGCTTTCCCATAGCTAAAACTGGGTTTAAACACCTAAAACAGCATCGATGGAAGAAGGATTTGGCTTTCCCATAGTTAAAACTGGGTTTAAACACCTAAAACAGCATCGATGGAGGAAGGATTTGGCTTTCCCATAGTTAAAACTGGGTTTAAACACCTAAAACAGCATCGATGGAAGAAGGATTTGGCTTTCCCATAGTTAAAACTGGGTTTAAACACCTAAAACTGCATCGATGGAAGAAGGATTTGGCCTCACCATGCTTAAAGCTGGGTTTAAACCCCTCAAAAAGCAGTCCAGAAGGATGCTGTGGAACAGAGGCACCTCTCCAGAGCCTCCAAAAGGTCCCACAAAGCCAGCTGGATGAATCCCATCGGGCCACTTCCAGGCATGGAACTGTGTCAGCAAATCCCATACAGATCAAACTCAACTGGGAGATCATTGCTCCCCACTTGTGGGCCAGCACCTATGGTGCTCCCAGGGCCCATCACTGATGTTAAAGGCTTTGCTTTCCCTTCATCCCTGTCTATGAGGGACCAACATCATCAGCCAAGAGGTCCTTTTATCCCCTTTTTGCTGTTAAAACACCTAAATCCAAGCATTTTGGGGTTATCCACCATGACCCTGCCCAGACACGTGGCTGCAGGAGGCCCAGTGCAAAGCCTCTCCATCCCCAGCTTAACCCAGCACCAGCATCCTCTTGCCACAACCACGCTTTTATCCCACTGATATTGAGGTGAAACCATCAGATTCCAGGTTTGCCACATCCCTGGAGAACCTGGATGGAGCAGGACAGCACCCAGGGGTGCTGCACCCAACCAAACCACCCCAAACCCCAACACTCACTCCCCCCCCCCCCAGCCAAGACCTTGCCATGGCCACAAAGCAGAGTCACAGCAGTGCAGCACCCAGTGGAGAAGCAGGATTGGGCCATGTCCTACTTTGCAGAGGCACCAGGAGAATCCCTGGCCATGCCCAGAGTTGTCCCCAGCCTATTTATATCCCGTGGCCCAGTTCCAGGAGCAACGGGAGTGGAGCTGGGAGTTATTTATAGGCACCAAAAGACAGGCACGGCAGGTGCTGGGATGAGGGTTGGGATGAGCCCTTCTCCCTGGGCACCAAGAACCACCACAGGCACTAGGCAGGACACCCCCCCCCCCCCCACACACACACACCTTGTCCATGTGAGGCCACAGCTTGAGCCCACCCTCTCCATCCTCTTGGTGGGATGCTTGAGGACCGCATCTCAAGCCAAGCACTCAACCAAATCCTTGCGTTGGGGCTTAGCCCATGGCATGGGTGCAAAGCTCCTGACCCCCAAAGTCATGGAATGATGGAATGGGTTGGGGTGGCAAGGAGCTTAAGGTCATCCAGTTCCATCCCCTTGCCATGGGCAGGGACACCTTCCACTAGAGCAGCTTGCTCCAAGCCCCATCCAACCTGGCCTTGAACACTGCCAGGGATAGGGCACCCAAACCTTCTCCATCCAACCCATCCCAGTATCCCAGCACCTCCCAGGGAAGAACTTCCTTATCTGCAAGCTGAACTTCCCTGTTCCAGTTGGAACCCATCACCCCTTGTCCTGTCCCTGATGAAGTTCCCTATGCACATCCTTGGAGCCCCTTTCATCACTGGAAGCTGCTCCGAGGTCTCCATGCAGCTTCTCTTCTCCAGCCCCAATGTCCTCAGCCTGGCTCCATGTGGGAGCTGCTCCAGGCCCTGCTCATGCCTGTGGCCTCCTTAACCTTGCTCCAGCAGCTCCATGTCCTTACTGTGAGGACACCAGAGCTGGATGCAGCATCCAAGTGGGGTCTCACCAGAGGGCAGGGGCTCTTTGGGAAGAGATTCACTGTTACAGGGATGCAGCGTGGGGGGTTTCCATCCAACTTCCAGGTTTCCAAGTGCACTGCACATCCCAGCTCTGGCCAAGCCCTGCCTCTTGTCCTGGCCTCGAGCCTTCAGTTATTTACTTGCTAGGCAACAGGATGACATCTCTCCTGGCAGCATCCAAGTGGGAGCAGTCAGGAAGGTCACTGGGAATGGGAGCAGAACCTCCCAATTCAGGGAGGCCAAGAGCTTAAACTCAGCCCAATTCCAGCAAGGAAGGAGATAAGGGGGGAAACCAGCCTGGATTTTATGGGCCTGGGTAAGGAACATCAGGAAGAGGCACTGGGGCTGTCCTAGGAGTTAAGGCAAGATTAGGAGGAGCTGCACCTCCAACAGGTGTTTGGTCTCATGTCTTGGGTATCTGCTCTGGATGGGGCTCAAGGATGGGCCATAAAGTGGCCCAGCACTTGGCAAACACACCCTGGGATGGGCTACACCGAAGGCTCAGAGCTCTCTGCTCAAGCCAAGATCAAACCAAAGCATCATTTCCTAGGCTGGAGCAGCTCAACATGGGGACCCACCATGCAAGAACAACGAGCTTCACCCCAAAACCCACTCCAGTGCTTCCCACCTAAAACTAGGGTGGTGCCATGAGGTCTCAGCCCCCACCAAAGCCCAGATCCAGGAGAAACCCCAGCACTGGAAGGGCTGAGGATACTCTGACCTCCTCATCCTGTTCAGTTGATATCCCAGGCTCCCATAACCCAACTGCTCCAGGCCTCTGCTCCAAGTCCCCAAGGAGGCTCATCCAATGCTCTTTGGAACATCCATCAGGAAGAGGTGGGACAAGCAACAGCACCTCAGGACCCTCACACATCCTCTGTTGGTAGGTGACACGACCCAAGCCCAACATCCGTGTCCTGCTTGGGGACAAGAGGCCACCACCAAGAGCAAGGCTCTGTCCCAAACCCAACACCCCAGGCTCTTCCCAGCACCCCAGAGGTGGGATGCACTTGAGCATCAGTACTCCCCAGTGGCAAATGAATGCCAACACAAGGATGGATGGATCCCAAACCACCCCAAGCTGGACATATGGATGGGAACAACTTCCCAACACACGCAGCACCGGTGCCCATCACATCCCACACCTCCTAAGACAGGACACAGGAAGAAAGAGACCTACAAGCTGCAGCCCCATGGGACCAGAGAGTGCTGAGCTGGTGGGACAAGCCAGCACCTTCCCCCAGGGTCATTCCTAAACCTAATCCCAACTAAACCCATTCTCAACTAAACCCCATCCCACCTCATCAAACCCCACCAAACCCCATCAAACTTCACCAAATGCACATCAAAACCCCATCAAATGCCCATCAAACCTCATCAAACCCCCATCAAACCCCATCAAACTCCACCAAATGCACATCAAAACCCCATCAAATGCCCATCAAACCCCACCAAACCCCATCATCCTCACCAAACTCCACCAAATGCACATCCAAACCCCATCAAACTCCACCAAATGCACAGCCAAACCCCATCAAACTCCACCAAATGCACAGACAAACCCCATCAAACTCCACCAAATGCACAGACAAACCCCATCAAACCCCATCAAACTCCACCAAATGCACAGCCAAACCCCATCAAACCCCATCAAACTCTACCAAATGCACAGCCAAACCCCATCAAACCCCATCAAACTCCACCAAATGCACAGCCAAACCCCATCAAACCCCATCAAACTCCACCAAATGCACATCCAAACCCCATCAAACCTCATCAAACCCCATCAAACTCCACCAAATGCACATCAAAACCCCACCAAACCCCAGATTTGGGGCCCAGAACCTCACACCAGCCCCACAAAAGCTCCTTCTTCTTCTTCTACCTTGTGGCATCACAGCATCTCCAGGGCACCCATGTGGCCCCACATCAGGGGCCTTGGTGACACCGCTCCTGACCCAGAGCGGGATGTCCCGACACTGGAGACCCTGGGACACCCCACAGTGCCACAGCAACCCCAAAACAACATGTCCCCACATCAGGGACCTCATGGCACCATCCACCCCACAGTGCAGCCCAAACCACAACCTCAACCTCCACATTCCCAGTGCCACGGTGGCAAATCCTCCTCCAGAACCTCCCCTCACCTCCAGTGGAACCTCCTCATGCTCCATCACCTCTGGGGCCATGGGGGACACACTGAGGGCACCAGCTTCTCCACGGGCACCCCCAAGCCATGAGGGTGGGGGGTGGATGGGCTCTGACCACAGCTCCAACCGCTCCCATGATCCCTGTGCTGATATGGGGAGGAAATCCCTCCTGGCTGGGCTGATAAGGACAAGGCGGGACCAGGAGCATGGAGATAAAGGCTCAACCATTCAGATCCCACCCTGTGGGTCCCATAGGGAAGCAGCATCCCCAAACACCCCACGGAGGGACAGGGATGAGCCCCATACAGTGATGGGGTGAAGGCTGGAGCATCTCAGACCCTGTTGGTGCCACGCACAACCCCGAGTTACCACAACTGGTTCTGAGTCCCTGTTGTCTTACAGCTTCCCCAAAAACTTCCAAGGAACAGCCAAAACCAGCCCCCCCCCCCCCCCCCCCCCCAGGAGCAAGGAAAGGGAAAGAAGCCCCCAAAAGGCCATAGGAAGGGTTCTGCACCACTCTTGGTGCTGGGGAAAGTTCAGGTGCCACCACCAGCAATGGGAATTCCTTCCTCCTGCTCAGCTCAAAGCCCAATGGAGCAGAATAGAGCCACCAAAGTACATCAGAAAAGCCCCAAAGCCTTCAGGTTGGTGGCATCACAAGTTTCTGTGTGGGGTCTTCCCACCCCATAAGGCCCTTAGCCTGGTGTGCCTCTGTTTTGGGGCATTTGGGGCCATTTCACCTTGGTTTCTCCAGTTGGGAGGCAGTGATGGGGGTTTGCAAAACAGGAGATGAGGTTTGAAGTCAATCCTGTTGATGGAAACTCCCATTCCAGATGGGAACGAAGCCACCCACCAGCCAGGGGACAAGTAGAGGCCACTGGTGGGATCCATGGCCACCTGATTCCCAGCAGGGATGGGGAAGGACAGGAGAGCAAACACATGGAGAGGTTCAGGTAGGACTTGGGGTGGTGGCATCTGGGCAGCATTTGGCATTGGGTTGATGGAGAAGCTGAGGCAGGAGAGGGTTAATCCTCCAAAGACACCGGACAACCAGGGACCTACAGACAACTTGGAGCAACCACGTTGAGAAGATGAGGAATTGGCCAGACCAGCTCCATCTGAACAGTCAAAGCCAACATCTCAACACCCACGTGGACACCAAGACCAACCGGAGACTCCTGACTACAAGCTCCATCAACCAGCACCCCCAGCTCCTTTTCCATGAGCAGTTTCCAGCTGCTCTTCCCCAAGCCTGGAGCACTGCATGGGATTCAGGGCAGGACCCAGCACTGAGCCTTCTTGAACCTCATCCCATTGATCTCATCCCCATCCCCAAAAGCCACCCCAATGGCACCAACCAGGGACTCACCAGCAACGTCGTCGGCCTCCAGGGCGACGTCGGGCTCCTGACGTGCCAGCGATGAGAAGAAGTCAGGTTCCTCTTGCAACGGGCACAGCTCAACACTGGAGGGTCCCTTCCCCTCCCTGCTCATGGTCTCCAGGTCATCCTCAGCATAGAAAGCATCTTCCTCAAGCTCTGCCTCCGTTTCCAACGAGCTCCCAGGGTTTTCCAGGGGCTTCTTTGCATCCTGCAGGAAAGCTGCTCTTCGCTCTTCCCCTTGGGGACACTCCAGAGGAGGAAAAGTCTCGTCGCTTGGCTCTGGTGGCATCAACAGGGCTCTGCCTCCATCTCCTTGGCGCTCTGAGAAGCTCGGGACAGCTTTCTCCATCCCTTGAGGATTGTGCTGGGTCACTCGGATGAAAGCCCCGCGCCAGCACTCGGGAACGCCAATGGCCAGGGACCCACGGCCAAACCTGGAAGGAAGCAGGGATACAAGAGGAGGCCATGAGAAGGGAAACTGGGTTTTGGTGGGCTGCTCTGGGTCTCGAGGCCTCATTGTGGTCACCAAAGCTCTTGGTGGTCCAGAAGCAGGCGAGACGTCAGGTCCCATCACTCGCTCCTTGGTGCTGGGTCCCTGCTGGAGTTGATGGACCCCAATATGAAGCCTCCCCCCCCCCCCCCCCCCCCGCACCCCAATTTGCTCTCCATGCTCATCCCCACCATTCCCTGCCATGCACTTCCCAAACCCCCACCAGTCACCCTCAAACTGCTCCTTTATCCCCCCAGAATTCCATCCCATGATGGGAAAGCCACAGCTTGGCTCTGCCACCAGCTATCCCCAAACCCAGGATGGGGGGGGGGGGATTTGGGATGCTGTGCTGCATCCTTCCCCCTGGATGAATTCAAGTGGATGGGTACCTTCAGACTGGGGGAGCCCTGAAGGGTTTGGGACCCCTCAAAGGGGCAACCAAATGCTGGCCACTCGAGTGTGGATGCCCCCAGTGCCAACCCCTCACCCCAAAACACCTTCCAGGGTGAGGTCCTGCTGTGAAGGGGTGAAAACTGGGATCACTGGGAGAAATAAAAGGATCAGCTCAGGATCCTGCTCTCTGCTGCATGGGTTGAACCCAGATCCAGGCGGAGAAGGGAAAACCAGGAGGAAAGAGGCACTAAAGGGCTTATCAGCTCCATGGGAGGATAAAGGCACACGGGAGAAGAGGAAGGAGCTAAATTTACCCTGGAGAAGAGCCTATAAATACCTTCAAGGTAAGGAATGCAAATGAAGAGGGAATTATTCCAAGCTGGCACAAGGAGTTTTCCTGCCCCGGGGGCTGAGGGAGGAGAAGGGATGGAGCAAACCCCAACCGACAGCCTGCAGCCATCCCGAAATGCCAACCTGGAATCCCGACGCTCCCCCAGGGAATGTGGGTTGAGTTTGCCCATAAGAAGGGAAAAGAGAAAATCAATGCAGCTCATTCCTATGGCGGCTCCACGTGCCAGAGGCTTTCATTTGTGAGGATCAGGTGCTCCAGCTGGCTTTGGATGTAGGGATATTCCTTGGGAAGCACCCCCACTTGGCACCCAGTGCTGGCAGGATGCTCTGGCTCCGCATCAATGCTTGCTCCATGTCCATGGGAGGGTTTTGGGGAGCGAAGCCCAAGTTGTGGATGTCCAGGGGTTTGCTGGGATCAGGGATGCTCCACTGGGATGAAGCCACCCCCTCTCCCCACACTGGCTTCATCTTTAACCACCATCCAGCTTCAATCCAGTCGGACACACACAGCATTCCCCTTTTACCACTTCTCCCACCAGTGGCTCATCCGTGGTGCCAACAAGGAGCATTGGAGAAGCTTCCACATTGTGTTGTTCCAGCGTGGCACCAACTTTCCTCTTTGTAATTCCCAACAAACAGCAAGGAATCGTCCCAAAATGTGCCACCCCACTGCAAGGAAATGCATGGGGAGGGGGGGGAACGACAGGCAGGAGAACCTGGGATCCAGGGTTGGAAAAACCATGGTGGAGTTTTCCCTTCTTAATCACAGCTGGAGATCCTGGTGCATTCCCAAGCCGGGGGGGGGGATCCATCGAGGTGAGAATGGGTGAAAAACACCCCAAAATGGGTTTATATTTAAAAACTGCATTTTGGGGGGCCTGTGGGTTTGATCTGAGCCAACTCCAGGCCTGAATCCATTGGGAGAATCCCACTGGAAGCTGCCACCTCCTTTCCCCAGCACTGAACCCCCGCATCCCTTTGGAACGGCGCTCCATCCCAACCTTTGCTCCTCACCACAACAGCCGTGCCAAATTCCCCAAGCTGGGAATGACACCAAATCCTTGGAATCAGGCTCAGCATCACCCCCACCACAACCCCAAACCCAGCACAGACCCAGGGAGGGGGGGGGAATGGCATCAGTGTCACATCCCCACCTTGCTCTGTAAGGCATGGATTTCCTCAACTTTTCCCTTTGATTCTTGGCTGCATCCATGTGCTGTGCCACCATCCTTCCCAAAAACCCATGGCGGGGGGGGGGGGGGGGTTATGTGGGTTTAAGCTCACCAGGATAGGGAAAAACAAGGAGATTCCACACACACACACCCCCCCCGCTTACCCCCCCCATTCCAATGTGCTCCATACCAACATCCTAAAAGACTCCGGTGCTCATCGTGATGTCTCCAAAGCCTCTTCCCAAGGTCGCTTCCCAAGCTCTGCTCCCTGCCAAGGTGGGAGCCAGACAGAGGAATCCCTTCCCCCACCCATCAGCCCAGAGCCATGCAAAGGCGGAGCAGGAACGGGACAATTTAAATGCTAAACCGGTTAAGTGGGGACAATCATTCCCTGCCCTGGAAGTCCCGGAGGGAACAGGGCCCTTCCCCAAGGCCAAGTGGCTCCAGGAGGAGCTCGTGATCCAGGAGCCCCCAGGTTGGAGCCTAAGGAAGACTTGGACTTAAGGAAGACTTTGGCTGGGACTTGGATCCCCCTTTATAGGGGCCCTTCCATGGCTCCTTTTGGCCTTTCCATGTGCTCTTTTGGCCCTTCCACGGCTCCTTTTGGCCCTTCCACGGCTCCTTTAGGCCCTTCCACGGCTCCTTTAGGCCCTTCCACGGCTCCTTTAGGCCCTTCCACGGCTCCTTTAGGCCCTTCCACGGCTCCTTTAGGCCCTTCCACGGCTCCTTTTGGCCCTTCCATGGCTCCTTTTGCCCCTTCCATGTGCTCTTTAGGCCCTTCCACGGCTCCTTTTGGCCTTTCCATGTGCTCTTTTGGCCCTTCCATGGCTCCTTTTGCCCCTTCCATGCGCTCTTTTGGCCCTTCCACGGCTCCTTTTGGCCCCTCCACGGCTCCTTTTGGCCCTTCCATGTGCTCTTTTGGCCCTTCCATGGCTCCTTTTGCCCCTTCCATGTGCTCTTTTGGCCCTTCCATGGCTCCTTTTGCCCCTTCCATGTGCTCTTTTGGCCCCTCCACGGCTCCTTTTGGCCCCTCCACGGCTCCTTTTGGCCCCTCCACGGCTCCTTTTGGCCCCTCCACGGCTCCTTTTGGCCCCTCCACGGCTCCTTTTGGCCCTCCACGGCTCCTTTTGGCCCCTCCACGGCTCCTTTTGGCCCCTCCACGGCTCCTTTTGGCCCCTCCACGGCTCCTTTTGGCCCCTCCACGGCTCCTTTTGGCCCCTCCACGGCTCCTTTTGGCCCCTCCACGGCTCCTTTTGGCCCCTCCACGGCTCCTTTTGGCCCCTCCACGGCTCCTTTTGGCCCTTCCACGGCTCCTTTTGGCCCCTCCACGTGCTCTTTTGGCCCCTCCATGGCTCCTTTTCTCCATTCCATGTGCTCTTTTGGCCCCTCCATGGTTCCTTTTGGTCCTTTCATGTGCTCTTTTGGCCCTTCCACGAGTCCTTTTCACCCTTCCATGGGTCCTTCTGGCACCTCCATGGGTCCCTTTGGCACTTCCACGTGCTCTTTTGGCCCTTCCACGGGTCCTTTTGGCCCCTCCACATCTTTTGCTCCGTCCATGTACTCTTTTTGCCCACGCCTGTGCTTGTTTACCCCTGCACATCCTCCTTTTGCCCCTTTCATGTCCTCTTTTGGCCCCTCCATGTGCTCTTTTGGCCCCTCCACATGTTCTTTTTGTCCCTGTACATCCTCTATTGTCCCTTCCATGTGCTCTTTTGGCCCCTCCACGTGCTCTTTTTGCCCCTGAACATCCTCTTTTGCCCCTTCCACATCCTCTTTTGGTCCACACACATGCTCTTTTTGCCCTGCACATCCTCTTTTGGCCCCTCCACGTGCTCTTTTGCCCTTCCACATCCTCTTTTGCCTCTAAACATCCCCTTTTGGCCCCTCCACGTCCCTTTTTGGCCCCTCCACGTCCCCTTTCGGCCCCCCACCACGTCCCCTTTCGGCCCCTCCACGTCCCCTTTCGGCCCCCCACCACGTCCCCTTTCAGCCCCTCCACATCCCCTTTCGGCCCCCCACCACGTCCCCTTTCGGCCCCCCACCACATCCCCTTTCTGCCCCCCACCACGTCCCCTTTCTGCCCCCCACCACGTCCCCTTTTGGCCCCTCCACATCCCCTTTCAGCCCCCCACCACGTCCCCTTTCGGCCCCTCCACGTCCCCTTTTGGCCCCTCCACGTGCTCTTTCGGCCCCTCCACGTGCTCTTTTGGATCTTCCACATCCTCTTTAGGCCCTTGCCCAGCAAAGCAGAGCCACAGCACAGGCTGTGCCCATTTTACCCCCTCCAAACCAGTTCACACCCAGGCTCACAGGGTCCAGCTCGCTCTGAGCCAGCAGATTCCAGCTCCGTGGGTTTTCCCTGTGATTCCTTTCCTCCTTACTGGATCACGAGACGATGGTGCCGGTCTTTCCCGTTCCATCCCAGACCACAGCCAAGGTGGCACAAACACCATCTCCATGCAAAACACATCAGAGTCACGACGAAAACACATGAAGAGGACTCAGGATATCCATACAAAAGGAATTCAGGGAGGATCCAGGAAGCTCCCAGGGCTGATCCTGGATGATTTTCCTCCTTGGCGTTACCCAAGCTCATTTAGGACCAAGAGCAGCTTTTGGCCCTCCATCCCAAAGCCAGAATGAGCAAAGGATGCATTCCCTGCGGAGCTCTTCCTATTTGGCTCCAGCAAATCCTGTGGTGAGGGGTCCTGGCAGGATCCAAGGAGTTTTTGGCAGGATCCACTGCTGGGATCTGCAGGGAATTCGGCTGCAGGGTGGTCAGCACCATGGGAAGGGGATTTCCCCAGCCTCCATGCGGCACCTCCTCAAAACCATGCTCCGGGGAGGGAATTCCATGTCCAGCTGTGCCAAGATGATGATCCAAAGGGATTCCAAGCAACGTCAAACCACGCTGGGATAAGCCAAAGGTGCTCCGGGTCATCGCTGCCTGTGCTCCGACCTGCTCCCCACCATGGAGCTGCTTGGGAAGAGGAAACATTCCCGGCTCCAAGCAGCGGAGAACAGGGACGAGGAGCTCCCGATGGAGATTCCAGGCCCGGATGGTGTCGGAACCCCTTGGCACAGCTCGGTCCCTTTCCCATCGGAGCACGGGAAGGATCCATGGGAAGCATTCGCAGGGATCCGGATCCATCCCAGCACCGGGTCCCGGGGCTGCTGCCTCTGCCTGCCCCAGGCCGTGGGGCCCCAATGGAGCACAGACACCCCCAAACACACCCCGAGCCTCCCTGTACCCCCCTGGACACACAGGGACCCCCATGCCCTGGACCCCTCAGTCCCTCCCCGGTTACCTCGGACCCCCCCGGACCCATTGGGCCCCTGCAGACCCCTCGGTTCCTCCCCGGTTACCTCGGACCCCCCCGGACCCACTGAGCCCCTCCAGACCCCTCGGTTCCTCCCTGGTTACCTCGTATCCCCCCCGGGACCCATTGAGCCCCTCCAGACCCCTCGGTTCCTCCCTGGTTACCTCGGATCCCCCCCGGGACCCATTGAGCCCCTCCAGACCCCTCGGTTCCTCCCTGGTTACCTCGGATCCCCCCCGGGACCCATTGGGCCCCTGCAGACCCCTCGGTTCCTCCCCGGTTACCTCAGAACCCCCAGACCCCCGGTCCCTTCCCGGTTATCTCGGATCCCAACACGGTCCCTTCCCGGTTACCTCGGACCCCCCCCCCCCTTCCCGGACCCATTGAGCCCCTCCGGAACTCTCAGTCCCTTCCCGGTTACCTCAGGTACTGAGGCTCCCACCGGACCCCTCTCGTTTATCTCAGACCCCGGGTCCCCCCCGGTCCCTTCCCGGTTACCTCAGACCCCCCCGGACCTGTTGGGCCCCTCCGGACCCCTCGGTCCCTTCCCGGTTACCTCAGACTCCCCCGGACCCATTGGGCCCCTCCGGACCCCTCGGTTCCTCCCCGGTTACCTCAGACCCCGGGTCCCCCTCGGTCCCTTCCCGGTTACCTCAGACCCCCCCGGACCCATTGGGCCCCTCCGGACCCTTCCCGGTTACCTGAGGTACTGAGGCTCCCTCCTGACCCCTCTCATTTACCTCACACCCCGGGTCCGTCCAGTCCCGTCCCCCCCCCAACCCCGGGATCCCTCCGCTCCCTTCCCGGTTACCTCAGACCCCGGGTCCCCCCCCTCCGGTTTCAGCACCCCGGACGGGGCCGGTACAGGGGGTCCGGGGGGGTGTCATCGCCGCCTCCCCCCCCCCAAGCTCGGCTCCCTCCGCTTTGTCTCCCGTCGGACCAAACCCCCCCCCTCCATAACGCGCCGCCGCTCTCCGGGTGCACTCACCCCGCCGGTCCCCCGGGGCCGGGCCCTCCGGGCAGCTCCCCCTCAGCGGCAGCGCCACTGCTGCAACCTCCGCCGCCTCCTACCCGGCTCCGGCCTCCACAGCAGCCGCCGCGACGGGGCCATGGTCCCTTTAAATCCCCCGCCGGGGGCCCCGCCGGTCCCGCCGCCGCCGCCGCCTCCTCCTGCTCCCCTCCGGCCGCTCCCCCGCCTCCCTCCCGGCGGCGGGGCCTGACTACGTCACGCCGGGCGCGACCAGGCCGCCGCCGACATCTTGGGGGCGGCGAACGAGGCCCCAGCACCGCCTCCGCCGCTGACTCCGCCGCCGCCGCCGCCGCCATCTTGGGCCGCGCTCGCCCCCGCCCCGCCGGAGCGGCTGCTGCGCGCCCCCCCCCCCACCGAGCCGTTACCGGCATGCGCGGCGCGCAGTGATGACGTAGGCGGAGCGGCGGCGCCGCCATCTTGGGAGTGGCGGGAGGAGAAGGGGAAGGGGGCAGTGCGGAGGTGGTGCGTCATCGGAAAGCGACGGTGGTGGAGATGCGCCGCCATCTTGAGAGTGGCGGAATGGGGAGGTATCGTAAGGGGCGAACACAGCGTGGCCCCATGGCGGCCCCATGGACCCAAAGGGGCCCCATGGCCCCAGCGTGGCCCCATGGCCTCAAAGGGTTCCCATGGACCCAAAGGGTCCCCATGGCTTCAAAGGGTCCCCATGGCCTCAAAGGGTCCCCATGGCCTCAACGTGGCCCCATGGCCTCAAAGGGTCCCCATGGACCCAATGTACCCCCATGGCCCCACGGGTTCCCATGGTCCCAACGTGTCCCCATGGCCCCAGTGTGTACCCATGGCTCCAAAGGGTCCCCATGGCCCCACGGGTTCCCATGGTCACAACGTGTCCCCATGGCCCCAGTGTGTACCCATGGCTCCAAAGGGTCTCCATGGCCCCAGTGTGTCCCCATGGCCCCAAAGGGTCCCACAGTCCTGGAGCGTCCCCATGTCCCCAACGGGTTCCCATGGCCCAAATGTGTCCTTGTGGCCTCAACGGGTCCCCCTGGCCCCAATGAGTCCCCATGGCCCCAACAGGTCCCCATGGCCCCAAAGGGTCTCCATGGCCCCAATGTGTCCCCATGGCCCCAATGTGTCCCCATGGTCCCAATGTATCCCCATGGCCCCAGTGTGTCCCCACGGCCCCAAAGGGTCCCCATAGTCCTCAAGTGTCCCCATGGCCCCAATGTGTCCCCATGGTCCCAACGTGTCCCCATGGCCTCAAAGGGTCCCCATGGCCTCAATGTGGCCCCATGGCTCCAAAGGGTCCCCCTGGCCCCAATGTGTCCCCATGGCCCCAATACGTCCACATGTTCCCAATGTGTCCCCATGGCCCCATTGTGTCCCCATGGCCCCAGTGTGTCCCCATGGCCCCAATGTACCCCCATGGCCCCAATGTGTCCCCATGGCCCCATTGTGTCCCCATGGCCCCAATGTTTTCCCATGGCCCCAAAGGCTCCCCATGGCCCCACCAGGTCCCCATGGCCCCAAAGGCTCCTCATGGCCCCACCAGGTCCCCATGGCCCCAAATGGTCCCCATGGACCCATCGTGTCCCAGGCGGGGGTTCAGGACACAACCACCCTGTGCGGGTGCCCCCAATGCTCTTTATTCTCCCATGGGATGGGGGTGACCCCGTGGGGAAGCCCTAGAGATGCACTGGGGTGGGGGAGGTGGGGGGGGTGTCACACACTGGTGGCCTGGGCATCGTCCCGTAGCACCCGGTGGCCCACCCTCCTGTGGTGGCCCAAGGCCTGGGTGATGGCCGCCTGCAGCTGCCCCTGCTCCTGCTCCAGCGCCAGCACTCGGCTCTCCTGCGAGGCAGCCCATTGACACCCATTGACACCCATTGATACCCATTGTCACCCATTGACACCCATTGATACCCATTGTCACCCGTTGACACCCATTGTCACCCATTGATACCCATTGTCACCCGTTGACACCCATTGACACCCATTGTCACCCGTTGACACCCATTGATACCATTGACACCCACTGACACCCACTGACACCCATTGACATCCATTGTCACCCATTGACACCCATTGTCATCCATTGTCACCCATTGTTACCCATTGACACCCATTGATACCCATTGACACCCATTGTCATCCATTGTCACCCATTGTTACCCATTGACACCCACTGACACCCATTGACACCCATTGATACCCATTGACACCCATTGTCATCCATTGTCACCCATTGACACACACTGACACCGACACCCATTGACACCCACTGAAACCCATTGACACCCATTGTCACCCAGTCACCCATTGTCACCCGTTGACACTCATTGACACCCATTGACACCCACTGACACCCACTGACACCCGTTGTCACCCATTGCTACCCACTGCTGTCCATTGTCACCTATTGCCATCCACTGCTCCCCAGTGCCATCCATTGTCACCCTTTGACACCTGTTGTCACCCATTGCCACCTATTGTCACCCATTGTCACCCTTTGTCACCCATTATGATACTTGGTCACTCACTGTCACCCATTGCCACCTTTATCATCCATTTTGATCCTTGGTCACCCATTGTCCCCCACTATCACCCACTGCCACCCGCTATCACCCACTGCCACCCACTGTCACCCATTGCCACCCACTGTCACCCATTGTCACCTATTGCCACCTTTGTCACCCATTGTTCCCCTTTGTCACCCATTGTCACCCATTGCCACCCATTGTCATTGCCACCTTTATCACCCATTGCCACCTTTGTCACCCATTGTTCCCCTTTGTCACCCATTGCCACCTTTGTCACCCATTGTTCCCCTTTGTCACCCATTGTCACCCATTGCCACCTTTGCCACCCATTGTTCCCCTTTGTTACCCATTGTCACCCATTGTCACCCATTGCCACCTCTGTCATCCATTGTTCCCCTTTGTCACCCATTGTCACCCATTGTCACCCTTTGCCACCCATTGTCACCCATTGCCACCTTTGTCACCCATTGTCACCCATTGCCCCCTCTGTCACCCATTGTCACCCATTGCCCCCTCTGTCACCCATTGTCACCCATTGCCACCTTTGTCACCCATTGTCACCCATTGCCACCTTTGTCACCCATTGTCACCCATTGCCCCCTCTGTCACCCATTGTCACCCATTGCCCCCTCTGTCACCCATTGTCACCCATTGCCACCCCTGTCACCCATTGCCACCTCTGTCACCCATTGTCACCCATTGCCACCCCTGTCACCCATTGCCACCTCTGTCACCCATTGTCACCCATTGCCACCCCTGTCACCCATTGTTCCCCTCTGTCACCCATTGTCACCCATTGCCAGCCCTGTCACCCATGGGTGCCCCACGCCCCAGCCCTCACCAGCTCCCGGCTCTTCTCCTCGCTGCTCTTCAGCCTCTCCAGGTCCTTCTTCCTGTTGCCTTCAGCCGCCGTCAGCCTGGGGGGGCATGGGAAGAGCCCAGCTCTTGGAATGGGGGAGGGAAACCCCCTGGTATGGGGCACCCATTGGTATGGGGCACCCACTGGTATGGGGCACCATTGGTATGGGGCACCCACTGGTATGGGGCACCCACTGGTATGGGGCACCATTGGTATGGGCACCATTGGTATGAGGCACCCATTGGTATGGGGCACCCACTGGTATGGGGCACCATTGGTATGGGGCACCATTGGTATGGGGCACCCACTTGTATGGGGCACCCACTGGTATGGGCACCATTGGTATGGGGCACCCACTGGTATGGGCACCCATTGGTATGGGGCACCACTGGTATGGGACACCCACTGGTATGGGGCACCCACTGGTATGGGGCACCATTGGTATGGGCACCATTGGTATGGGGCACCCATTGGTATGGGGCACCCATTGGTATGGGCACCATTGGTATGAGGCACCCATTGGTATGGGGCACCCACTGGTATGGGGCACCATTGTTATGGGGCACCATTGGTATGGGGCACCCACTGGTATGGGCACCCACTGGTATGGGGCACCACTGGTATGGGGCACCACTGGTATGGGGCACCCATTGGTATGGGGCACCATTGGTATGGGGCACCCACTGGTATGGGGCACCATTGGTATGGGGCACCATTGCTTTGGTGCACCCATTAAGTTGGGGCACCCATTGCTCCGGAGCACCAATTGCTTTGGAGCACCCATTGCCTTGGGTCACCCATTGCTTTGGAGCACCCATTGCTTTGCAGCACCCATTCCTTTGGTGCACCCATTGCTTTGTGGCACCCATTACTTTGGAGCACCCATTGCTTCGGTGCACCCATTCCTTTGGGTCACCCATTTCTTTGTGGCACCCATTGCTTTGGTGCACCCATTGCTCTGGAGCACCCATTACTTTGGAGCACCCATTGCTTTGGTGCACCCATTGCTCCGGAGCACCCATTCCTTTGGTGCACCCATTGCTTTGTGGCACCCATTACTTTGGAGCACCCATTGCTTTGGTGCACCCATTGCTTTGGTGCACCCATTGCTCCTGAGCACCCATTGCTTTGGTGCCCCCATTGCTCCGGAGCACCCATTGCTTTGGTGCACCCATTGCTCTGGAGCACCCATTGCTTTGGTGCACCCATTAAGTTGGGGCACCCATTCCTTTGGTGCACCCATTGCTTTGTGGCACCCATTACTTTGGAGCACCCATTCCTTTGATGCACCCATTGCTTTGTGGCACCCATTACTTTGGAGCACCCATTGCTTTGGAGCACCCATTGCTCTGGAGCACCCATTGCTTTGGTGCACCCATTGCTCTGGAGCACCCATTGCTTTGGTGCACCCATTACTTTGGTGCACCCATTGCTTTGTGGCACCCATTGCTTTGTGGCATCCATTGCTTTGGTGCACCCATTCCTTTGGTGCACCCATTGCTTTGGAGCACCCATTGCTCCGGAGCACCCATTCCTTTGGTGCACCCATTGCTTTGTGGCACCCATTACTTTGGAGCACCCATTGCTTTGATGCACCCATTGCTCCGGAGCACCCATTGCTTTGGTGCACCCATTGCTCTGGAGCACCCATTGCTTTGGTGCACCCATTAAGTTGGTGCACCCATTGCTCCAGAGCACCCATTGCTTTGGTGCACCCATTAAGTTGGTGCACCCATTGCTCCAGAGCACCCATTGGTTTGGTGCACCCATTGCTCCAGAGCACCCATTCCTCTGGAGCACGCATTGCTTGGCACATCCATTGCTTTGGAGCACCCATTGCTTTGTGGCACCCTTCCTTTGGTGCACCCATTGCTCCGGAGCACCCATTGCTTTGTGGCACCCTTCCTTTGATGCACCCATTGCTCCGGAGCACCCATTGCTTTGGTGCACCCATTAAGTTGGGGCACCCATTCCTTTGGTGCACCCATTGCTTTGTGGCACCCATTACTTTGGAGCATCCATTCCTTTGGTGCACCCATTGCTCCGGAGCACCCATTGCTTTGGTGCACCCATTAAGTTGGTGCACCCATTAAGTTGGTGCACCCATTCCTTTGGTGCACCCATTGCTCCGGAGCACCCATTGCTTTGTGGCACCCTTCCTTTGATGCACCCATTGCTCCGGAGCACCCATTGCTTTGGTGCACCCATTAAGTTGGGCCACCCATTCCTTTGGTGCACCCATTGCTTTGGTGCACCCATTAATTTGGTGCACCCATTCCTTTGGTGCACCCATTGCTCCGGAGCACCCATTGCTTTGTGGCACCCTTCCTTTGATGCACCCATTGCTCCGGAGCACCCATTGCTTTGGTGCACCCATTAAGTTGGGGCACCCATTCCTTTGGTGCACCCATTGCTTTGTGGCACCCATTACTTTGGAGCATCCATTCCTTTGGTGCACCCATTGCTCCGGAGCACCCATTGCTTTGGTGCACCCATTAAGTTGGTGCACCCATTCCTTTGGTGCACCCATTGCTCCGGAGCACCCATTGCTTTGTGGCACCCTTCCTTTGATGCACCCATTGCTCCGGAGCACCCATTGCTTTGGTGCACCCATTAAGTTGGGGCACCCATTCCTTTGGTGCACCCATTGCTTTGTGGCACCCATTGCTCCAGAGCACCCATTCCTCTGGAGCACGCATTGCTTGGCACATCCATTGCTTTGGAGCACCCATTGCTTTGTGGCACCCTTCCTTTGGTGCACCCATTGCTCCGGAGCACCCATTGCTTTGTGGCACCCTTCCTTTGATGCACCCATTGCTCCGGAGCACCCATTGCTTTGGTGCACCCATTAAGTTGGGGCACCCATTCCTTTGGTGCACCCATTGCTTTGTGGCACCCATTACTTTGGAGCACCCATTGCTTTGATGCACCCATTGCTCCGGAGCACCCATTGCTTTGGTGCACCCATTGCTCTGGAGCACCCATTGCTTTGGTGCACCCATTAAGTTGGTGCACCCATTGCTCCAGAGCACCCATTGGTTTGGTGCACCCATTGCTCCAGAGCACCCATTCCTCTGGAGCACGCATTGCTTGGCACATCCATTGCTTTGGAGCACCCATTGCTTTGTGGCACCCTTCCTTTGGTGCACCCATTGCTCCGGAGCACCCATTGCTTTGTGGCACCCTTCCTTTGATGCACCCATTGCTCCAGAGCACCCATTGCTTTGGTGCAACCATTAAGTTGGTGCACCCATTCCTTTGGTGCACCCATTGCTCCGGAGCACCCATTACTTTGGAGCACCCATTCCTTTGGTGCACCCATTGCTCCGGAGCACCCATTGCTTTGTGCCTCCCCCGCTTTGTGCCCCCCCCTCCTTACCTGGCTCCCACCGTGCCCGCTCGGGCATTGGCCTCCTCCAGCTGCCCCCGGAGCCCCCGGAGCTGCTCCCGCTGCTGCTCCCGCTCCCGCTCCGCGCCCCGGAGCCGCTCCTCCGCCTCGGCCACGCGCAGCTCCAGCGCCCGCGCCTGCTCCTGCTGCGCCTCCACCTCCTGCCTGAGCGCCCGCAGCACCCGCGCCTGCTGGGGGACAAGGATGGGGGCAAGGGGGCACCCGTGGGCTTAGGGGCACCGCCACCCATTGGTTCCCATCTCCAATGGGGCACCCATGGGATTCGGGGTGCCACCACCCATTGGTTCCCTTCATCCAATGGGGCACCCATGGGCTTTGGGGCGTCACCAACCATTGGTTCCCTTCATCCAATGGGGCACCCCAATGGCTTTTGGGTGCCACCACCCATTGGTTCCCATCTCCAATGGGGCACCCCAATGGCTTTTGGGTGCCACCACCCATTGGTTCCCTTCATCCAATGGGGCAGCCATGGGCTTCGGGGCACCGCCACCCATTGGTTCCCATCTCCAATGGGGCACCCATGGGCTTCGGGGCGCCACCACCCATTGGTTCCCATCTCCAATGGGGCACCCATGGGCTTTGGGGCGTCACCAACCATTGGTTCCCATCTCCAATGGGGCACCCATGGGCTTCGGGGCGCCACCACCCATTGGTTCCCATCTCCAATGGGGCACCCCAATGGCTTTTGGGTGCCACCACCCATTGGTTCCCATCTCCAATGGGGCACCCATGGGCTTCGGGGCACCACCACGCATTGGTTCCCATCTTCAATGGGGCATCCATGGGCTTCTGGGTGCCATCACCCATTGGTTCCCGTCTCCAATGGGGCACCCATGGGCTTCGGGGCACCACCACGCATTGTTTCCCATCTTCAATGGGGCACCCGTGGGCTTCGGGGCACCACCACCCATTGGTTCCCATCTCCAATGGGGCACCCCAATGGCTTTTGGGTGCCACCACCCATTGGTTCCCTTCATCCAATGGGGCAGCCATGGGCTTCGGGGCACCGCCACCCATTGGTTCCCATCTCCAATGGGGCACCCATGGGCTTCGGGGCGCCACCACCCATTGGTTCCCATCTCCAATGGGGCACCCATGGGCTTTGGGGCACCGCCACCCATTGGTTCCCATCTCCAATGGGGCACCCATGGGCTTCGGGGCGCCACCACCCATTGGTTCCCATCTCCAATGGGGCACCCATGGGCTTTGGGGCACCGCCACCCATTGGTTCCCATCTCCAATGGGGCACCCATGGGCTTCTGGGTGCCACCACCCATTGGTTCCCTTCATCCAATGGGGCACCCCAATGGCTTTTGGGTGCCACCACCCATTGGTTCCCATCTCCAATGGGGCACCCATGGGCTTTGGGTGCCACCACCCATTGGTTCCCTTCATCCAATGGGGCAGCCATGGGCTTCGGGGCGCCACCACCCCTTGGTTCCCATCTCCAATGGGACACGCGTGGGCTTCGGGGCACCGCCACCCATTGGTTCCCATCTCCAATGGGGCACCCATGGGCTTCGGGGCGCCACCACCCATTGGTTCCCATCTCCAATGGGGCACCCATGGGCTTTGGGTGCCACCACCCATTGGTTCCCTTCATCCAATGGGGCACCCATGGGATTCGGGGCACCACCACCCATTGGTTCCCATCTCCAATGGATGCCACCACCCATTGGTTCCCATCTCCAATGGGGCACCCATGGGCTTCGGGGCACCGCCACCCATTGGTTCCCATCTCCAATGGGGCACCCATGGGATTCGGGGTGCCACCACCCATTGGTTCCCATCTTCAATGGGGCACCCATGGGCTTCGGGGCGCCACCACCCATTGGTTCCCATCTCCAATGGGGCACCCCAATGGCTTTTGGGTGCCACCACCCATTGGTTCCCTTCATCCAATGGGGCAGCCATGGGCTTCGGGGCGCCACCACGCATTGGTTCCCATCTCCAATGGGACACCTGTGGGCTTCGGGGCACCACCACCCATTGGTTCCCTTCATCCAATGGGGCACCCATGGGCTCTGGGGCGTCACCAACCATTGGTTCCCATCTCCAATGGGGCACCCATGGGCTTTGGGGCGTCACCAACCATTGGTTCCCATCTCCAATGGGGCACCCATGGGCTTCGGGGCACCACCACGCATTGGTTCCCATCTTCAATGGGGCACCCATGGGCTTCGGGGCGCCATCACCCATTGGTTCCCTTCATCCAATGGGGCACCCGTGGGCTTCGGGGCACCACCACCCATTGGTTCCCATCTCCAATGGGGCACCCTAATGGCTTTTGGGTGCCACCACCCATTGGTTCCCAACTTCAATGGGGCAGCCATGGGCTTCGGGGCGCCACCACGCATTGGTTCCCTTCATCCAATGGGGCACCCATGGGCTTTGGGGCGCCACCAACCATTGGTTCCCATCTCCAATGGGGCACCCGTGGGCTTCAGGGCACCACCACGCATTGGTTCCCATCTCCAATGGGGCACCCCAATGGCTTTTGGGTGCCACCACCCATTGGTTCCCTTCATCCAATGGGGCAGCCATGGGCTTCGGGGCGCCACCACCCCTTGGTTCCCATCTCCAATGGGACACCTGTGGGCTTCGGGGCACCACCACCCATTGGTTCCCTTCATCCAATGGGGCACCCATGGGCTCTGGGGCGTCACCAACCATTGGTTCCCATCTCCAATGGGGCACCCATGGGCTTTGGGGCGTCACCAACCATTGGTTCCCATCTCCAATGGGGCACCCATGGGCTTCGGGGCACCACCACCCATTGGTTCCCTTCATCCAATGGGGCACCCATGGGCTTCTGGGTGCCACCACCCATTGGTTCCCATCTCCAATGGGGCACCCATGGGCTTCGGGGCGCCACCACCCATTGGTTCCCATCTCCAATGGGGCACCCCAGTGGCTTTTGGGTGCCACCACCCATTGGTTCCCTTCATCCAATGGGGCAGCCATGGGCTTCGGGGCGCCACCACCCCTTGGTTCCCTTCATCCAATGGGGCACCCATGGGCTTTGGGGCGTCACCAACCATTGGTTCCCATCTCCAATGGGGCACCCATGGGCTTCGGGGCACCACCACCCATTGGTTCCCATCTCCAATGGGGCACCCATGGGCTTCGGGGCACCACCACCCATTGGTTCCCTTCATCCAAGGGGGCACCTATGGGCTTCGGGCCGCCACCACCCATTGGTTCCCTTCATCCAATGGGGCACCCCAATGGCTTTTGGGTGCCACTACCCATTGACCCATTGGTTCCCGTCTTTGATGGGGCACCCATGGGCTTCAGGGCACCACCACCCATTGGTTCCCATCTCCAGTGGGGCACCCATGGGATTCGGGGCGCCACTACCCATTGGTTCCCTTCATCCAAGGGGGCACCCATGGGCTTCAGGGTGCCACCAACCATTGGTTCCCATCTTCAGTGGGGCTCCCCAATGGCTTTTGGGTGCCACCATCCCATAGTTCCCTTCTGCAATGGGGCTCCCCAATGGCTTCAGGGTGCCACCACCCATTGGTTCCCATCTCCAATGGGGCTCCCCAATGGCTTTTGGGTGCCACCACCCCATGGTTACCTCCTCCCATGGGTGGATGCCGTAGAGCTCGCCCTGTGCCACCGCCGCTGCCACCTCCTCCACGTAGCGCTGCCAGGGCACCGTGGACTTGCGGAGCTTCCCGCGTCCCTGCGGCACCGGGGACACCCATGGGTGCTGGTGTCACCCCGGGTGTCACCCTGAGGTGGTGGCAATTCCAGGTGAGGGGCCCCAAGGGGTGCACGCAAGGTGCTGGTGAGCCAAGGGGCAGTTGACTGATGGGAGGGGGGCTTTAGGACCCAGTAGTACTCAGAGTGGGGGCATTAGGACCCAGGGAGTGCTGTTGGGTACCCAGGGATAGGGGGTTGCACCCCAAGGGATGATGGGGTGCAACCAGGGGTAGGGGTGCACCCAGGGTGATGGGGGGCACCCAGGGGTGATGGGGACAACCCAGGGGTGATGGGGAGAACCCAGGGGTGATGGGGGGCACGCAGGGGTGATGGGGGGCACGCAGGGGTGATGGGGGGCGCCCAGGGGTGATGGAGGGCATCTAGGAGTAGGGGGGCATCCAGGGGTGATGGGGGGCACCCAGGGGTAATGTGGAGAACCCACGGGTGATGGGGGGCACCCAGGGATGATGGGAGCATGCGGAGGTGATGAGGCGCCCCCAGGGGTAGGAGGGCACCCAGGGGTGATGAGGGGCACCTGGGAGTGGTGAGGGGCATCCAGGGGTGATGAGGGGCACCCAGGGGTAGGAGGGCACCCAGAGGTGATGAGGGGCACCCAGGGGTGATGAGGGGCACCCAGGAGTGGTGAGGGACAAACCAGGGGTGATGAGGGGCACCCGGAGGTGATGAGAGGCCCCCAGGGGTAGGAGGGCACCCAGGGGTGATGAGGGGCACCTGGGAGTGGTGAGGGGCACCCAGGGGTGATGAGGGGCACCCAGGGGTAGGAGGGCACCCAGAGGTGATGAGGGGCACCCAGGGGTGATGAGGGGCACCCAGAGGTGATGAGGGGCACCCAGGAGTGGTGAGGGACACCCAGGGGTGATGAGGGGCACCCGGAGGTGATGAGGGGCACCCAGGGGTAGGAAGGCACCCAGGGGTGATGAGGGGCACCCAGAGGTGATGAGGGGCACCCAGGGGTGATGAGGGGCACCCAGAGGTGCTGAGGGGCACCCAGGAGCAGGAGGGCACCGAGGGGTGATGAGGGGCACCCAGAGGTGCTGAGGGGCACCCAGGAGCAGGAGGGCACCGAGGGGTGATGAGGGGCACCCAGAGGTGCTGAGGGGCACCCAGGAGCAGGAGGGCACCGAGGGGTGATGAGGGGCACCCAGAGGTGCTGAGGGGCACCCAGGAGCAGGAGGGCACCGAGGGGTGATGAGGGGCACCCGGGGGTGATGGGGAGGACCCTGGGGTGCTTTGCGCTCACAGCACCCATCACCCCCCCCCCCCCCCCCCCCCCCCCCCCATGGCCCCAGCCCCACACCAGGGTTTGCGGTGCCTTTACCGGGGCATCGCAGGGGCCAACGGCCCCCGGGGGTTCCGCGGCCGCCGGCTCTGCCCGGTGCTGGGCGCTGCTCTGGTGCCGCCGGGCCCCGCTGCTCCGCGCCGGGACGCTCTGCGTGCGCTGAACGTTGCGGCGCTCCCGGCCCGGGACCGCGGCCGATGCCGGGGCAGGGGCCGGGGCTGGCTCCGGGTCGGGTCCGTCCTCCCGGCCCCGGCCCCGGCGGATGCTGAGCAGGGACTGGCTCTTGATGAGGGGGCTGTGCTTGCTCAGGTCCCGCGGGGGCACGAAACCGGGCTTGAAGCTCTCTGCTGGCCTGCGGGTGAGAGGGGTGGGTGGAGGGAGGGAGGGAGGGATGATGGATGGATGATGGATGGATGGATGATGGATGGATGGATGGATGGATGGATGGATGGATGGATGGATGGATGGATGATGGATGATGGATGGATGGATGGATGATGGATGGATGGATGGATGGATGGATGGATGGATGGATGGATGGATGGATGGATGCATGGATGGATGGATGGATGATGGATGGATGGATGGATGGATGATGGATGGATGATGGATGGATGGATGGATGATGGATGGATGGATGATGGATGGATGGATGGATGATGGATGGATGGATGGATGATGGATGGATGGATGGATGGATGCATCCATCATCCATCCATCCATTGTCCATCCATCATCCATCCATCCATCCATCCATCCATCCATCATCATCCATCCATCCATCCATCCATCCATCCATCCATCCATCCATCATCCATCATCCATCCATGCATCCATCCATCCATGCATCCATCCATCCATCCATGCATCCATCCAAGATGATGGATGGATGGATGGATGGAGGGATGATGGATGGATGATGGATGGATGGATGATGGAGGATGATGGAGCCAGGAGGGACCAGAACCAACCTGAGCCCAACTGGGACCAGGACCCAGGAGGGACCAGAACAACCATGAACCAAAACAGAATCAGAGGCACCCCAAATCCCGTTGGGATCAAACCCACGTCCTGGCCCCAGCCTGGACCTGAAGCACCTCAAACCCAGTCAGGTCCAGAGACACCCCAAGCCCAACAAGAACCAGAGACACCCCCAATCCAGTTGGTACCAGAAACATCCCCCAAATCCAACCAGAACCACGTGTCCCTGTGTCCACCCACTGATACCTTCGCTCTGTGGTGGAGCTGAGACGGACGGAAACAGGGACAGGGGTCCCCTCCTTGATGGCAGTGAGGATGGTGGGCAGGGGCTCCAGCTCCTTCTGTGTGGCCTACCAGGACAAGACATGGACGTTAAGGTGACAATGGGTGGCCATGGGGCAGTGGACACTAACTCTATAGGTGGGGAGAAGCAGGTGGCCACCACTCCTGCCAGCCACCCTTGGGGACAAATGGGTTGGTGGCACCTGGTCCAGGCTGGAGAAGATGTCACAGAGCAGAAGGTGGAGGGTGGCGAGCTCCAGGGCCAGGTCCACGTAGCCGTCGTAGGTGGCCACGTGACCACTGCTCTCGGGGCTGGCCACTCTCTGCAGGAAGCCTGTCATGGTGCTCCAGTTGTGCTCCAAGAACTCATTCATGAAGCCCATGTAGGCCTCCTTCTCGCCAAAGCTGGGGAACACCATGGCTGGTTACTTGGGTGATGGCCTGGGACACCACCATGGTCATGGACCACCACCGTGGTCATGGACCACCACCATGGTCATGGGCCACCTCCATGGTCATGGACCACCACCATGGTCACGGGCCACCTCCATGGTCATGGGTCAGCACCATGGTCATGGACCACCACCATGGTCGTGGGCTACCTCCATGGTCATGGGCCACCTCCATGGTCATGGGTCACCACCATGGTCATGGACCACCACCGTGGTCATGGACCACCACCATGGTCATGGGCCACCTCCATGGTCATGGACCACCACCATGGTCATGGGTCACCACCGTGGTCATGGGCCACCTCCATGGTCATGGACCACCTCCATGGTCATGGACCACCTCCATGGTCATGGGTCACCACCGTGGTCATGGGTCACCACCGTGGTCATGGACCACCACCATGGTCATGGGTCACCACCGTGGTCATGGGCCACCTCCATGGTCATGGACCACCTCCATGGTCATGGGTCACCACCGTGGTCATGGGTCACCACCGTGGTCATGGACCACCACCGTGGTCATGGGCCACCTCCATGGTCATAGGCCACCTCCGTGGTCATGGGCCACCTCCATGGTCATGGGTCAGCACCATGGTCATGGACCACCACCATGGTCGTGGGCTACCTCCATGGTCATGGGCCACCTCCATGGTCATGGGTCACCACCGTGGTCATGGACCACCTCCATGGTCATGGGTCACCTCCATGGTCATGGGTCACCACCGTGGTCATGGACCACCACCATGGTCATAGGCCACCTCCATGGTCATGGGCCACCTCCATGGTCATGGGCCACCACCATGGTCATGGACCAGGCCACTTCCAGGATCATAGACCAAGTCATTGGACCCGTCAGGGTCCAACCCCACCCTCTGAAGCCAAACTGGGACCAGTGATTCCAAGTCCATCCCTAGACCCAAGACCAGAGCCATCCCCTGAACCCAGTCAATGTCCCTGCACCATGTCACCACCCTGTCTACAAGCCAGCACATGGGTGATGACACTTCCATGTTCATGGACCAAACCTCCATAGGTCAGGCCCCCACAGATGACATGTGAGACTCTGCAGTTGAGCCAAATCAGGTCCATGCATGGAATGGAGATGTCCCCGTCGCCCCATGGCCATGTCCGTGTCCCCCCCCATGCTGGTACCGTGCCGTACGTGGTGAAGTTGGCCAGGTTCTGGATGACTTTGGCCACCAGGGTGAGGGTGCGGGACGTGGCCTCGCTCGGGTACTCCTGGATGAGGCCAAAGAGGCTGGGGGACATGATGGCGGGGCAGAGGAAGCGCAGGAACAAGGAGGCCGAGACCAGGCGGTGGCCGATGGGCTCCTTCCCCCGCGCCACGCACGCCTCCCGCCACGCCATGAAGATCTCACCCAGCTCCACAGGGAAGGTGCTGCAGGGACAGAGACACCCTCAGGGGTGCTGGGCCAGGAGGGAGGTCCTGGAGCACCCCCATGTGCCACTGTGAGTTGGGTTGGGGTGGGTTGGGGTGGATGAGTTGAGTTGGGTTGAGATGGGATGGATGAATTGGGTTGGGGTTGGTTGGGGCGGATGAGTTGGGTTGGGATGGATGGGTTGGGTTGGATGAGTGGGGTTTGGATGGATTAGTTGGGATGGCATGGATTAGTTGGCTTAGGATGGGTTGGGTTGGGATGAGTTGGGTTGGGATGGATGAGTTGGGTTGGGGTGGATGGGTTGGGTTGGATGAGTGGGGTTGGGATGGATTAGTTGGGATGGGATGGATTAGTTGTCTTAGGATGGGTTGGGTTGGGATAGATGGGTTGGGTTGGGAAGAGTTGGGTTGGGATGGATGAGTTGGGTTGGGGTGGATGGGTTGGGTTGGATGAGTGGTGTTGGGATGGATTATTTGGGATGGGATGGATGAGTTGGGTTAGGATGAGTTGGGTTGGGATGGATGAGTTGGGTTGGGATGATGAGTTGGGTTGCTTTGAGATGGATAAGTTGGGTTGGGACGGATGCGTTGGGTTGGAGCGGGGTGGGATGGATGCATTTCATTGGCTTGGATGGGTTGGGTTGGAATGGCTAGCTTGGGATGCGGTGCCCACCATGCCTGTGCTTGGCCTGTGCTGGGCCCCTGTGCTTGTTGCTGAGGTTGGACCTGGGTCTTTGGTGGTGTTCATCTCCATGCCCATCCCCATGCCCATCCTGGTGCCAGTCCCCAGACCCATCCCCATGCCCATCCTGGTGCCAGTGCCTGTCCTTCTTCCCATTCCTCTCCCTGTCCCCAAACACATCCCTGTGCCCACATCCATCCCCAGGTCCTCCTGGCGTTGGTGGCCTCCTTCATGCCAGCCCCATTGCCCCTGCTGGTGTCCATCTCTATGTCCATCCCATGCCCATGCAGGGCTGTCCCTCACTCGCAGGAGGCAGCGATGCGCTGGAAGGTCTCCTCGCAGACCTGCTGCAGGTTCTTCTGGTTGTCAGAGAGGTCGAGGCCACCACATCTGCTGGGATCCACCTCACAGCTCTCCTCCGAGGTGCAGAGCTGGGCCACAGCCTCACCTGGACACCAAAGGGCAGCCCATGAGGGGACCAACCAGCCACCACCATGGGGATGGCTGTGACCAGCCTCCATCACATCCCCATGGATGTTCTGGGTGTCCTGCAGCACAACCCAACCCATCCATCCAAACCCAATCTATCCATCCCATCCCAACCCATCCATCCCAACCCAACCCATCCATCCCAACCCAACTCATCCATCCAAACCCAATCTATCCATCCCAACCCATCCATCCCAACCCAACTCATCCATCCAAACCCAATCTATCCATCCCAACCCATCCATCCCAACCCAACTCATCCATTCCAACCCAACCCATCTATCCCAACCCAACCCATCTATCCCAACCCAACTCATCTATCCTAACCCAACCCAGCCCAACCCAGCCCAACCCAACCCATCTATCCCAACCCAACCCATCCCACCCAACCTAACCCATCCCAACCCAACCCATCTATCCAAACCCAACCCATCCTAACCCAACTAATCCATCCCATCCCAACTAATCCATCCCAACCACACTCATCCAACCCAACACCACTCACCCAACCCAACCCCATCCATCCCATACCAACTAATCCTTCCAAACCCGACTCATCCAGCCCAACCCAACTTATCCACCCCAACCCATCCACCCCAACCCAACTCATCAATCCCAACCCATCCATCTGATCTCATCCCATCCCAGGTCAACCCAATCCATAATGCTCTGGAGCACTTTGTAATGTCATGCCCAAGTTGTCATGCACCCCAGACACCCCATAATGTCCCATAAAGACCTGTTCAGCCGTACCCAGTGTGTCCTGGAGGTATTTGCCCCCCACCAGCTTCATGTACTCGTCGATGGCCTTGGTGGTCAAGTGTTCTCCCGGAAGATGAGGGCCTCGCGGTCATCGAAGCGCTCCAGCTCCGTCACACCAAGGTCGATGAGGAATGACTGCAGGTGGTTGTGTTGAGGGCCCAGGGGGTACCCATGGACCCAACTGACTTGATCTTCCCACCCTGGGATGTTCCAGGATCTCCTGACACTCCCTGGATTGTGTTTCCCATCCCAGCAATCCCATCCCTATTTACACATCCCATCCCATGACAACGCAACTCAACCCAACCCAAATTATTCCAACCAAATGCATCCAACTCATCCATCCCAACCCAACTCATCCATCTCAGCCCAACCCAACTTAGCCATCCCATCCCACCCCAACACAACACACCTGCCTGATCTCACCCCATTCCAGCTCAACCCAACCCATTCCAACCCAAGCTACCCATTCCAAACCAACCCATTCCAACCCAACTGATCCAAGTCAATGCAATGCATACATCCCACCCCACTCCAACCCAACACATCCATCCCAACCCAACTCATCTCATCTCAACGCAACCCAACTCATCCATCCCAACCCAATTCATCCACCTAACACACTTCAACCCAACTCATGCACCACAACCAACCCCAATCCACCTCAACTCATTAATCCCAACCCAATCCTACCCATCCACCTGATCTCATCTCATCCCATCCCAACCTAACCCATCCCAACCCAACTCATCCAACCCCAACCCAACACATCTATCCCAACCCAACCCAACTCATTAATCCCAACCCAATCCAACCCATCCACCTGATCTCATCTGATCCCAACCAAACCCATCCCAACCCAACTCATCCAACCCAACCCAACACATCCATCCCAACCCAACCCAACTCATTAATCCCAACCCAACCCAACTCATTAATCCCAACCCAATCCAACCCATCCACCTGATCTCATTCGATCCCACCGAACCCATCCCAACCCAACTCATCCAACCCAACCCAACTCATCCAACCCAACCCAACCCAGCTCATCCATCCCAACCCAATCCAACCCATCCACCTGATCTCATCCCATCCCAACCCAACCCATCCCATCCCAACCCAACCCATCCCATCCCAACCCATCCCATCCCATCCATCCCAACCCAACCCAACTCATTCATCCCAATCCAACCCGTCCACCTGATCTCATCCCATTCCAACTTAACCCATCCCATCCATCCCATCCATCCCAGCCCAACCCATCCATCCCATCCCAACCCAACCCATCCATCCCAGCCCAACCCATCCATCCCATCCCATCCCAACCCACCCATCCCACCCCACCCCACCATGCCCACATCCCCGCTCCACCTTGGCCTTCCCAGTGCTCTGCAAGACGCGGACCAAGGCGCCGGCCAGCTCCTCCTTGTGCCTTGCAGCAATGACGGGCTCCAGATGGGCGCAGAGCTCCCGGTAGTGGAAGGTGATGAACTCAGCCAGCTCCTTGTAGCGCACGATGGGCAGCACCCGCACCTCCCGGTAGCGCCCGCGCACCCGCAGCGCCGGCACCCGCTCGCCGGGGCCTCCCAATGGGTACCAGCGCTCCATGGGCTGCCTCGCACCCGATAGCTCGGTCAAGGGGATGGTGATGGAGGCCACCGGTTGAGTTGGGTCCTCATCGTGGCACAGGGCGAGGGTGAGGGCGCGGGTGGGTGGGAGGGCGCCCAACTGGAAGAGTTCGCCCCAGAAGAGGTCTCCATCGGGCCCGGCCACCTTGGCCGTGGTGCGGGCGAAGAGGGAGCCGTCGAGGTGGAGGTGGCAACGGAGGCGCCGCCGAGGGGGTAGGTCCCGGCCTTCGTACACCCAGAGGGTGAGGGAGAGCTCCAGGCGCTCGCAGCTATCCTGTAGGGTGGGGTTTGGGCTATGGGGTATGGGGTATGAGGTATGGGGTATGGGGTATGGGATACAGGGCATGGGATATGGGGTACAGGGACATGGGATATGGATATGGGATATGGGGTATGGGATGTGGGGTGTGGGGTATGGGGTAGGGGGTATGGGATAGGGGGTATGGGATATGGGGTATGGGATATGGGGTATGGGGCATGGGATGTGGGGTATGGGGTATGGGATGTGGGTATGGGGTATAGGATGTGGGGTATAGGATATGAGGTATGGGATGCGGGGTATGGGGTATGGGATGTGGGGTATGGGATATGGGGTATGGGATACAGGGCATGGGGTATGGGGTGCAGGGACATGGGATATGGATATACGATATGGGGTATGGGATAGGGGGTATGGGGTATGGGATGTCGGGTAAGGGATATGGGGTATGGGATATGGGGTATGGGATACAGGGCATGGGATATGGGATAGGGGACATGGGGATATAGGGCATGGGATATGGGGCCATGGGGATATGGAATGGGATGCAGAATATGGAGATATGGGGACATGGGAATATGGGATATGGGATATGGAATATGGAGATATGGGAGATGGGATATGGGGACATGGGGATATGGAATATGGAGATATGGGGAGATGGGATATGGGGAGATGGGATATGGGATATGGAATATGGAGATATGGGGAGATGGGGAGATGGGATATGGGGACATGGGGATATGGGGACATGGGGATATGGAATATGGAGATATGGGGGCATGGGGACTTGGGGATATGGCAATATGGGGACAAGCAGACAGGGGACAAGGGGGACATGGAGGTGTGGGTGAATGTGAGGGGGAAGGGGGCCGGGGACAGAGTTTTGGGTGGATGCTGGGATGGGGGAGAAGGGGGACAGGAGGGGCCATGGGGGAATGGAAGAGATATGGGGGGACATGGGGGGATACAGGGAACAGGAGGGGACCCAGGGGCAGGGCAGGGCATGGGACAGGAGGGGTCAACCCCATCCAGGGGACCCAGGACTCCAGAGTGGGCTGGAGGGGGGGGGGGGGGGGTGTCCGCTCCCTCCTGTCTGGGTGCTGGGGGCACCCTATGGGTGCCGGGGGTGCCCCATGGGTGCCCCCATGCTCCCACCTTGTTGGGCTGCGCGGCGCGGCGCAGCTCCTCGATCCAGCGGTCGCGCTCGGCCAGGGACGTGCACCCAAAGGAGCGGCTGCCCTCGGCCGTGATCACCTGGGTGCAGGGAGGGCGTCTGCAGGGGCACCCATGGGTGCCATGGAGGGGCTGGGGTGTCCTTTGGGGGTACCTTTCACAGCGCCTGGGGGCCCCTTTAGGGTGCTTGCACTGCTCTGGGTCCCCTCCATGGTGCTTTGGGTGCCCCTTTGGGGGGCTTGCACTGCTCTGGGTGCCCCTTTAGAGTGCTTGCACTTCTCTGGGTGCCCCTCCAGGATGCTCTGGGTGCCCCTTTAGGGTGCTTGCACTGCTCTGGATGCCCCTCCATGGTGCTTTGGGTGCCCCTTTGGGGTGCTTGCACTGCTCTGGGTGCCCCTCCAGGATGCTCTGGGTGCCCCTTTAGGGTGCTTGCACTGCTCTGGGTGCCCATCCAGGGTGCTCTGGTTGCCCCTTTAGGGTGCTTGCACTGTTCTGGGTGCTCCTTTGGGGTGCTTGAACTGCTCTGGGTGCCCCTTTAGGGTGCTTGCACTTCTCTGGGTGCCCCTTTAGGGTGCTTGCACTGTTCTGGGTGCTCCTTTGGGGTGCTTGCACTGCTCTGAGTGCCCCTTTAGGGTGCTTGCACTGCTCTGGGTGCCCATCCAGGGTTCTCTGGGTGCCCCTTTAGGGTGCTTGCACTGCTCTGGGTGCCCCTTTAGGGTTCTTGCACTGCTCTGGGGTGCCCATCCAGGGTGCTCTGGGTGCCACTTTAGGGTGCTTGCACTGCTCTCGGGTCCCCTCCAGGATGCTCTGGGTGCCCCTTTAGGGTGCTTGAACTGCTCTGGGTGCCCCTCCAGGATGCTCTGGGTGCCCCTTCAGGGTGCTTGCACTGCTCTGGGTGCCCCTCCATGGTGTTTTGGGTGCCCCAGGGTCCCCTTTAAGCTCCCTGGGGTGCCCCTATGGGTGCCCCCCTGGGTGCAGGGCACCCCGTTACCTGGAAGCAGAACCTCTCCCCTACGATGCTGCCGTGCAGGGGCCGCACGAGGACGTTGTCCCCATTGAGGTCCAGCTCGGGCACGCTGGGTGCTGGCAGCAGCGACTCCCTGGACCCACAGCGGCTGGGGACCCTGTGGGGGCACAGACCCCATCACCGGAGCACCCTCAGCAGCACCCATGGCCCACCCCGGGCGCCCATCCCCTTGGTGCTGTACCTGTCGCTGCCGGGGCCACCACCACGTCCCTTGCGGTCCCAAAGCCTCTTCCATAGGAGCCCCTGGGTGTGGGGAAGGAGCTGGGTGCTGCAGCACCCATGGGTGCGGAGCGCCGGCAGGGGTTGGGGGTGATGGGTGCTGGGGGTGCCCACCTTGACGTTGTGGAACTGGGAGGTGTCGCTCTCGGGGCTTCTCCCTGGGCTATGGGTGCTCTGCTGGTCCACAGCAGGGTCTGGGGGGGGGCACCCAGCATTGGCACCCATTCACCAGCACCCCAGCACCAAGCCAGGGCTTGGGGGGGGGGGGGCAGGATGCACCCATAACCCCTATTCCCATCAACCATGCGCTGGGATGTGGGTACCAAATCCTGCTGGTACCCCCCCCCCCCCCATATCCATCACCCTCAGATGCAGCCAAATGGGTGCTGATGGGTGAAAGGGAGAAGGGGGCTAGAGGGGTTTATCCTGCCCTGGCCGTGTGGGTGCTGGGGGGTAAGGCAGGTCCCTGCATGGTGCTGAGCAGCACCGGGGCCCCATGGTGAGGAGCCCCAAGGGGTTTTATCACCCATCAGCAGCCGCAGCAGCGGGAGGAAGTGGTGACATCGCTGCACCCAGCGCTTCCTCCCCGCAGCCAGCCTGAGAGCTTCCTCCCATGTGGGGCGCGTGTGGGGCACGGGCCATGGGGTGCTGCGTGGGGCATGGGGTGCTGCATGGCATAGGCATGGGCATGGGCATGGGCAGGGTGGGATGCATGGGGCAGGATGGGATGCATGGGGCAGGATGGGATGCATGGGGCATGGTGGGATGCATGGGGAACAGTGACATGCATGGGGCATGGTGGGATGCATGGGGAACAGTGGGATGCATGGGGCAAGATGGGATGCATGGGGCATGGTGGGATGCATGGGGAACAGAGGGATGCATGGGGAACAATGGGATGCATGGGGCATGGTGGATGCATGGGGAACGGTGGGATGCATGGGGCATGGTGGGATGCATGGGGAACAGTGGGATGCATGGGGCCTGGTAGGATGCATGGGGCAGGATGGGATGCATGGGGAACAGTGACATGCATGGGGCATGGTGGCATGCATGGGGCAAGGTGGGATGCATGGGGAACAGTGGGATGCATGGGGCCTGGTGGGATGCATGGGGAGCAGAGGGATGCATGGGGCATGGTGGCATGCATGGGGAGCAGAGGGATGCATGGGGCATGGTGGGATGCATGGGGCAAGGTGGGATGCATGGGGAACAGTGGGATGCATGGGGCATGGTGGGATGCATGGGGAACAGAGGGATGCATGGGGAACAATGGGATGCATGGGGCATGGTGGATGCATGGGGCACGGTGGGATGCATGGGGCATGGTGGGATGCATGGGGCATGGTGGGATGCATGGGGAACGGTGGGATGCATGGGGCATGGTGGGGTGCATGGGGAACAGTGGGATGCATGGGGCATGGTGGGATGCATGGGGAACGGTGGGATGCATGGGGCATGGTGGGATGCATGGGGCATGGTGGGATGCATGGGGAACAGAGGGATGCATGGGGCAAGATGGGATGCATCGGAAACAGTGGGATGCATGGGGCCTGGTGGGATGCATGGGGCATGGTGGGATGCATGGGGAACAGTGGGATGCATGGGGCATGGTGGGATGCATGGGGAACGATGGGATGCATGGGGCATGGTGGGATGCATGGGGAACAGTGGGATGCATGGGGCCTGGTGGGATGCATGGGGAACAGTGGGATGCATGGGGCATGGTGGGATGCATGGGGAACAGAGGGATGCATGGGGAAGAATGGGATGCATGGGGCATGGTGGATGCATGGGGAACGGTGGGATGCATGGGGCATGGTGGGATGCATGGGGAACAGTGGGATGCATGGGGCCGGGTGGGATGCATGGGAAACGATGGGATGCATGGGGCATGGTGGGATGCATGGGGAACAGTGGGATGCATGGGGCCTGGTGGGATGCATGGGGAACGATGGGATGCATGGGGAACAGTGGGATGCATGGGGAATGTCACGGTACATGCTATGGGGCATGGTGTGGGGCATGGCACAGGACATGGCCAAGATTCACTGCCCTGTGCATGGTGCGTGATGGCTGCATGGCCTGGTGCATGGCACAACACATGGTGCATGGTGCATCACCATATGGCACACGCAGGGTGCATGGCACAACACACGGCCCAAGGGGCTCCAGGCACCGAACCTGCACACACCAGCACCCACGGCACAGGGTGAGGGCACCCATGGGTGCCATGAACTCACCGGGGTCCCTCCTGCTGCCTGCTGGGTGCGCGTTGAAGCTCTCAGCCATGGAGCTCCCCACCCAGTTCCTGCTCCTGCACGAGGCCTGGTGGCACATGGGGGTCAGGCAACAGCACCCATGGGTGCCCCCCAGCACCCAAAGGACTCCGGATGGCCCCATGTCCTCACCTCCTCGTCCCGGCCCACCAGCACCAAGTGTCCGTCCACCAGTGAGAAGTGGGAGACGTCCCACACGGGGCCATTGGGTGCTGGAGCCAGCAGGGCTGCTGATGTCCCATGGGTGCTCACTGCAGGGGGACATTGGGTGCTCACCATGGCCCTGTCACCCATGGGCAGTGTGGTGGTGCCAGGGGACATGTGGCCATGGAGGTACCACCAGCCGTCACTCACTGCATCCCAGAGCATCACCCGTTTCCATTGCCCACCAGCACCCAACCCATCACCCATCACCCCCAACATATCACCCATCACCCCCAACATATCACCCATCATCATCACCCATAACCCCCCAATCCATCACCCATCATCACCACCCATCACCCCTAGTCCATCACCCATCATGATCACCCATCACTGCTAATCCATCACCCATCATGATCACCCATAACCCCAATCCATCACCCATCATCATCACCCATCACCCCTAATCCATCACCCATCATCATCACCCCCGATCCACCACCCATCCTCCTCACCCATCACCCCAATCCATCACCTATCGTCATCACCCATCACCCCTAATCCATCACCCATCATCATCACCCCCGATCCACCACCCATCCTCCTCACCCATCACCCCAATCCATCACCCATCCTCATCACCCATCACCCCTAATCCATCACCCATCATCATCACCCATCACCCACCATCATCACCCATCCCCCCAATCCACCACCCATCCTCCTCACCCATCCCCCCAATCCATCACCCATCGTCATCACCACCCAAACCACCACCCCCATCCCCATCCCCCCCCTCCAGCACCCTGACCCCCACCCTTCCCAGCACCCCATACCTGCGGCAGCATCAAGAGGCACCTTCTCAGCCCTGGCTCCACTCTCCCCATGCCCCTTCCTCTTGGCCATGGAGCACAGGTACCTCTGCAGGGCGGCTTTGCCACCCTCGGGTGCTCTGCTCTCCTTGGCCCCCTTGGTGGGTGCTGAAAAAGCCCTTTGGAAGAGGGACCGGCGGGTGCTGCCTTTGGGTGCCCCTAGGTTGGAGCTGCCCCGTCCCACCACGTCATGGGGTCCGTCAGCTTCAGGGTGGCTGTAGGAGCGCTTCCACCCCTGCAAGCGGGTCCAGCGGCGGCTGCCTGGGGACCCTGCGCCCCGCTCAGCACCCATGGGTGCTGCTGTGCGCCATCGGTAGCTCTTCAGGAGCGTCGGTGGCTCAGGTCCCAGGGGGGGCTTCTCCATCACCTCCATCTGTGGGATGGGGAGGGCCACGTTCCATGGGTGTCCATGGTGGGGGGGTGGGGGGGTGGGGTGGGATGGGTGCCCTTAGCTGGGTCCCCCTAAACTGGTACCTACACCCATCAGCTCCAATTTGGGTGCCCCATCCAAGCGTTCCTGTTGGGGCATCTCCACCAAGATATCTCCATGCAGGTACTCGCATCTGGGTGCCCTTATCTGGGCACCCCCATCCAGGCACCCACATCTGGGTGCCCTTATCTGGGTACCCCCATCCAGGCACCCACATCTGGGGGCCCTTATCTGGGGACCCCTAAATTGGTACCTGCACCCATCAGCCCCAATTTGGGTGCCCCATCCAAGTGTTCCTATTGGGGCATCTCCACCAAGATACCCCCTTCCAGGTACCCACATCTGGGTGCCCTTATCGGGGGACCCCCATCTAGGCACCCACATCTGGGTGCCCTTATCAGGGGACCCCCATCTGGGTACCCCCACCCGGGCACCCACATCTGGGTGCCCTTATCAGGGGACCCCCATCTGGGTGCCCTTATCTGGGTACCCCCATCTGGGCACCCACATCCAGACACCACCATCTGGGTGCCCTTATCTGGGGACCCCCACCCAGGCACCCACATCTGGGTGCCCTTATCTGGGGACCCCCACCCAGGCACCCACATCTGGGTGCCCTTATCTGGGTACCTCCATCCAGATACCCACATCTGGGTGCCCTTATCAGGGTGCCCCCATTCAGGCACCCACATCTGGGTGCCCTTATCTGGGGACCCCCATCCAGGTACCCACATCTGGGTGCCCTTATCTGGGTACCTCCATCCAGATACCCACATCTGGGTGCCCTTATTGGGGGACCCCCATCTGGGAATCCACATCCAGACACCCACATCTGGGTGCCCTTATCTGGGGACCCCCATCCAGGCACCCACATCTGGGCACCCCCATTCAGTCTTCCCCTATGCAGGCACCCCTATATAGGCACCCATGACCATGGACCCTGTGTGGACACCCCCATCCAGGGACCCTTACCTGGGTGCCCTCATACGAGCACCTCTATCCAGGCACCCATATCTGGGCACCCCCATTTAGGAGACCCTCATTCAGGGGTGTCCCTATCCAGACACCCATGTATAGGCACCCTATATGCCCCCCTATCCACACACCCCAATCTGGTGCTCTGGGTGCCCACCCCCATCTGGGTGCTCTTCTCCCATCTTGTGGGTGCCCCATCCTCGGGGTGCCCCTGCCCATGGAGGGGTCCCCATTTGTGGGTGCCTGGGGTGCCCCTGCAGCATCCATCCATAGCACGGCACAGAGGTACCAGGGCCCGGTGACACCCACATCACGGTGACACCCAGAGCTATTGTGACACCCATGACACGACGACACCCTTGACACGGTGACACCCATGATACGGTGACACCCATGCAGGTGCCCTGGCACCACCCCAGTCCTGAGCCCAAGCAAGTCTCTTCCGTCACCGCAGCAGCCTCATTTCCTCCCATCACCAACCCCCAGCCCCTGGGCACCCCCCAGCACCCTAAGGGTGCACCCATGGGTGGCAGCACCTCCTCATTGAGTGGGGGTGGCTTTGCGACCCACCACCACCCCCTTTGATTCAAGGAGGGTGCCCAAACCCTGACGATCTGGGGGAGGTGGTGGTGTTCAAAGCATCACTTTTGGGGTGCCATCCCCCTCCAACACCCTCATCTGCAGCACCCATCACCCCTCCGGGTGTTGCTTCATCCCTCCCTAGCACCCTAAACACACCCCTAAGGCTGGAGCATCACCCCGGGGTACCCCCCACCCGTATCCCCCCTTTGTCCCCCCCATGTCCCCCCTCTTGTCCCCGTCCTCCCCCCCCATCCCCACGGTACCTCGGCTCCTCTCTGCCTCCTCCAGCACCCAGTTCCTGTCGTGGCTTCCCCATGTGACCAAGCAGGAGTTTCAGTCACACCCTCACCTCCGCCTCTGCCCCATGGGGATGATGCCGAGAGCTTCACTCCTGGGCCTCCTCCATAGGGTTTGGGCCCCACTGAGGTTCCCCCCCCCCGATGGGGTCTGGGGACCCTGGGGAGCAGCGCCGTATGCGAGGATTTAGGGCCATGGGTAGGCTTCAGAGTGAATGGGTGCTGCTTTGATGCAAGGGGGTGCTCGTCTTAAAGGGGGGTTATGGAGGTGGGGGGGGGGTCCTTAGGGGTCATAGGGGGTGGGCAGCACCCTCTGAAGTCCTCGCCCATCGCCCACCCCCTGCCTCAGTTTCCCCCTCCAGGAACCACCCGAAGCTGATGTCCTGGCACTGGTTTTATTGGGGGGATGGGGGGGGTTATGGTGGTTGGTGGCCATGGGGAGGGTCTGCTGGGCTGGTGGGACCAGAACAGGATCCATCTGGGATGGTGGGACCAGAACAGGATCCAGCCAGGATGGTGGGACCAGAACGGGATCCAGCCGGGATGGTGGAACCAGAACGGGATCCATCTGGGATGGTGGGACCAGAACAGGATCCATCTGGGATGGTGGGACCAAAACGGGATCCATCTGGGATGGTGGGACCAAAACGGGATCCATCTGGGATGGTGGGACCAGAACAGGATCCAGCCAGGATGGTGGGAGCAGAACGGGATCCATCTGGGATGGTGGGACCAGAACAGGATCCAGCCGGGATGGTGGGACCAGAACGGGATCCATCTGGGATGGTGGGACCAGAATGGGATCCATCTGGGATGATGGGACCAGAACGGGATCCATCGGGGATGGTGGGACCAGAACAGGATCCAGCCGGGATGTTGGGAGCAGAACGGGTTCCATCTGGGATGGTGGGACCAGAACAGGATCCAGCCGGGATGGTGGGACCAGAACAGGATCCATCTGGGATGGTGGGAGCAGAACGGGATCCAGCCGGGATGGTGGGACCAGAACGGGATCCATCTGGGATGGTGGGACCAGAATGGGATCCATCTGGGATGGTGGGACCAGAACAGGATCCAGCTGGGACGGTGGGACCAGAACGGGATCCATCTGGGATGGCGGGACCAGAACGGGATCCAGCTGGGACGATGGGCTTCATTGTTGGGGTTCTTCTGGACCAGGGTCCATCTGTGCTGGCATCCATCAGGGTGCCGTCCACCTAGACCAGGGCTGATCTCTGATGGCATCCATTGGGTCTGTCTGGACCAGGGTCCAACCATGGCACCGGTGTCCATCCAGACCAAGGTCCAACCATGGCACCGGTGTCCATCCAGACGAGGGTCCATCCAGCCTGGCTTCCATGGCACTGGTGTCCATCCCAAGGCCCACCCATGGCACTGGTGTCCACCTGGACCAGGATCCATCCAGCCGGGTATCCATGGCACCAGTGTCCATCCAGACCAAGGTCCAACCATGGCACTGGTGTCCACCTGGACCAGGGTCCATTCAGCCTGGCTTCCATGGCACCGGTGTCCATCCAGACCAAGGTCCAACCATGGCACTGGTGTCCACCTGGACCAGGGTCCATCCAGCCTGGCTTCCATGGCACCAGTGTCCATCCAGACCAAGGTCCAACAGTGGCACTGGTGTCCACCTGGACCAGGGTCCATCCAGACTGGCTTCCATGGCACCAGTGTCCATCCAGACCAAGGTCCAACCATGGCACTGGTGTCCACCTGGACCGGTGTCCACCTGGACCAGGGTGCATCCAGCCTGGCTTCCATGGCACCGGTGTCCATCCAGACCAAGGTCCAACCGTGGCACTGGTGTCCATCCAGACCAGCTTCCATGGCACCGGTGTCCATCCAGACCAAGGTCCACCCATGGCACTGGTGTCCACCTGGACCAGGATCCATCCAGCCTGGTATCCATGGCATCAGTGTCCATCCAGACCACGATCCATCCAATCTGGCCGCCATCAAGCATGTGTTGGACCAGGCTCCATCCAGACCATCACCCATTGGGCCAACACCCCTGTAGACCATGCTCCAACCTTACCCGCACCCACCAGGCCAGGACCCACGGTGCTGATCCTCACTGCAGAGGAGAGAAGAAGCCACCATCAGCATCCCCAGCCGCATCCAACCCTCGCGCTGGACCACGCGCCCCAACCTCCAAGCCTTGGAGATGCCACCAAGGCCCGTGCTCACCTTGAAGCCGCTCCAGGTCTCAATCTCTCGGAACAAGGAGTTACCGGGACAGTCGGTGCGACCCATCTGCCGGTGCCCCCGGAGGGTGTAGTTATGGTGGAGCCTCCCTGTCCTCACAGCGCAGGGCAAGAGCTGGTCCCTCACCAGGGCGATGGTGTCCGGGTCAGGTAAGGTGCTTGTGAAGTCTCCAACGTAACCCACGCCGTATCCTTTGCTGTTGTAGCCTTTGGTGTGAGCACCGACCCAATGCCATCCTCGGCCTTGGTACAGGTACCCGTCGGAGCCCACCACGAAGCTGCAAAGCAGCCATTGGGCATCACGAGGTGCTTGGTGATGGGCGATGGGATCACAGTTGGTGGTGATGAGACCATGGTTGGTGGTGATGGGTGATGGGTGATGGGACCATGGTTGGTGGTGATGGGCGATGGGACCAGGGTTGGTGGTGATGGGCAATAGGACCATGGTTGGTGGTGATGGGCGATGGGACCATGGCTGGTGGTGATGGGCGATGGGACCATGGCTGGTGGTGATGGGCGATGGGACCATGGCTGGTGGTGATGGGACCATGGTTGGTGGTGATGGGCGATGGGACCAGGGCTGGTGGTGATGGGCGATGGGACCACGGTTGGTGGTGATGGGCGATGGGACCATGGTTGGTGGTGGTGGGACCAGGGTTGGTGGTGATGGGACCAGGCTTGGTGGTGATGGGACCATGGCTGGTGGTGATGGGACCAGGGTTGGTGGTGATGGGCGATGGGACCATGGCTGGTGGTGATGGGCAATGGGACCATGGCTGGTGGTGATGGGCAATGGGACCATGGTTGGTGGTGATGGGCGATGGGACCATGGCTGGTGGTGATGGGACCATGGTTGGTGGTGATGGGCGATGGGACCAGGGCTGGTGGTGATGGGCGATGGGACCACGGTTGGTGGTGATGGGCGATGGGACCATGGTTGGTGGTGGTGGGACCAGGGTTGGTGGTGATGGGACCACGGTTGGTGGTGATGGGTGATGGGACCAGGCTTGGTGGTGATGGGACCAGGGTTGGTGGTGATGGGACCAGAGTTGGTGGTGATGGGTGATGGGACCATGGTTGGTGGTGATGGGACCATGGCTGGTGGTGATGGGACCAGGGTTGGTGGTGATGGGCGATGGGACCATGGTTGGTGGTGATGGGTGATGGGACCAGGGTTGGTGGTGATGGGCGATGGGACCATGGTTGGTGGTGATGGGCGATGGGACCATGGTTGTTGGTGATGGGTGATGGGACCATGGCTGGTGGTGATGGGCAATGGGACCATGGTTGTTGGTGATGGGTGATGGGACCATGGTTGTTGGTGATGGGTGATGGGACCATGGCTGGTGGCACTGGGCTCTCACCTGTATCCGATGTCGTCCCAGCCACGCGTGTCCTGGTGGAAGCGCTGCATGGAGCGCATGGCGCGGGAGCAGGACTGGAAGCTGTGGCACGGGGCACTGGGGATGAACGTGTGGTGGATGAAGACCGACTCCAAGGGCAAGGTCAAGGCTCTGGGGGTGCCCCGGTAGGGACGGGCACCCCACATGCACCGGGGCACAATGGGCGGGCACTCTGCAAGGGAAGGAGACATGGAACATCTCCGTGGGGACATGGGGACATGGAGCATCTCTATGGGGACATAAGGACATGGAACATCTCCATGGGGACATGGGGACATGGAGCATCTCCTTGGGGACATAGGGACATGGAGCATCTCCTTGGGGACATGGGGACATGGAGCATCTCCCTGGGGACATGGGGACATGGAGCATCTCCTTGGCGACATGGGGCATTTCCTTAGGGGCATAGGGACATGGAGCATCTCCATGGGGACATGGAGCATCTCCTTGGGGACATAGGGACATGGAGCATCTCCTTGGGGACATGGAGCATCTCTATGGGGACATGGAGCATCTCCTTGGGGACATAGGGACATAGAGCACCTCCTTGGGGACATGGGGAATCTCCATGGGGACATGGGGACATGGAGCATCTCCTTAGGGACATGGGGACATGGAGCATCTCCTTGGGGACATGGGGAATCTCCATGGGAACATGGAGCATCTCCCTGGGGACATGGAGCTTCTCCTTACGGACATGGCACATCTCCTTAGGACATGAAGCTTCTCCTGGGGGCTTGGGGACATGGAGCACATCCTTGGGGATATGGGGATGAGCATCTCTATGGGGACATGGGGACCTGGAGCATCTCCTTGGGGATATGGATCATCTCATTAGGGACATGAAGCTTCTCCTGGGGGCTTGGGGACATGGGGCATGTCCTTGGGGATACAGGGACACGAAGCATCTTGACGAGTGAGTGACACATGGAAGTGGCTTCCTGGGGTCCCTTCATCTAAAGGACGTGGAGCATCTGCTCAGGAGATCCCTTGGCTGGTGGCCATCCAGGGGACACCTCAGTGCCCATCCAGAGAACAAAGCAGTGCCCAGGGACCCATTATCCTGAGGACACATTGGTGGCGACCCAGAGGACATGGTGGTGGCCATCAGAGGACACATCAATGGCCATCCAGGGGGCATGGTGCTGGCTATCAAGGAGACACATCAGTGTCCATCCAGAGCACAAAGCAGTGCCCAGGGACCCATTATCCATAGGACACTGATGTCCATCCAGAAGACATGGTGGTGTCCATCAAGGAGGCACACCAATGTCCATCCATGGACCACACCAATGCTCATCCAGTGAGCACACAGTTGTCCATCCATGGACCACACCAATGCTCATCCAGGGACCACACCAATGTCCACCCATGGATCACATCAATGCTCATCCAGGGACCACACAGTTGTCCATCCATGGACCACACCAATGCTCATCCAGGGACCACACCAATGTCCACCCATGGATCACATCAATGCTCATCCAGGGACCACACAGTTGTCCATCCATGGACCACACCAATGCTCATCCAAGGACCACACCAATGTCCATCCATGGACCACACCGATGTCCATCTGTGGGCCACACCAATGCCCATCCATAAGACATGGTGGTGTCCATCAAGGAGGCACACCAATGTCCATCCATGGATCACACCGATGTCCATCCATGGACCACACCGATGTCCATCCATAAGACATGGTGGTGTCCATCAAGGAGGCACACCGATGTCCATCCATGGACCACACCAATGTCCATCCATAAGACATGGTGGTGTCCATCAAGGAGGCACACCGATGTACATCCATGGACCACACCAATGTCCATCCATAAGACATGGTGGTGTCCATCAAGGAGGCACACCGATGTACATCCATGGACCACACCAATGTCCATCCATAAGACATGGTGGTGTCCATCAAGAAGGCACACCGATGCCCATCCATGGACCACACCGATGTCCATCCATGGACCACACCAATGCCCATCCATGGACCACACCAATGTCCATCCAGAGACCACACCAGTGCCCATCCATGGACCACACCAATGTCCATCCAGAGACCACACCAGTGCCCATCCATGGAGCACACCGATGTCCATCCATGGACCACACCAATGCCCATCCATGGACCACGCCGATGTCCATCCATGGACCACACCAGTGCCCATCCATGGACCACACCAGTGCCCATCCATGGACCACACCAATGCTCATCCAGGGACCACACCATTGTCCATCCATGGACCACACCGATGTCCATCCATGGACCACACCAGTGCCCATCCATGGACCACACCGATGCCCATCCATGGACCACACCAGTGCCCATCCATGGAGCACACCGATGCCCATCCATGGACCACACCGATGTCCATCCATAAGGCATGGTGGTGTCCATCAAGGAGGCACACCGATGCCCATCCATGGACCACACCAATGTCCATCCATGGACCACACCAGTGCCCATCCATGGACCACACCGATGCCCATCCATGGACCACACCAGTGCCCATCCATGGACCACACCAATGCTCATCCAGGGACCACACCATTGTCCATCCATGGACCACACCGATGTCCATCCATAAGGCATGGTGGTGTCCATCAAGAAGGCACACCGATGCCCATCCATGGACCACACCAATGTCCATCCATGGACCACACCAGTGCCCATCCATGGACCACACCGATGCCCATCCATGGACCACACCAGTGCCCATCCATAGACCACATCGATGTCCACCCATGGACCACGCCAGTGCCCATCCAGGGCCCACAGCAGTGTCCCACCATCTCAGGCCACATGTGAGCACTCATCACTCCCTTCAGTGCCCACTGGGGACCCCCATCCCACCCAAGCTCCATTTGGGGTGCAAAGTCCTCCCATCCCCACCTCCCTACCCACGTAGAGCTGGGTGAAGTCCCGCGCCGCCTGCCCCGCGATGGCCACCACCTCCTCCGGTCCCACGTCCTGCAGGAGCTCCTTTGTGGCTGGCAGCACCCGCAGCACCCTCAGCATCGCCTCCACCTCCTGCTCCAGCTTCTCCGGCCCCATCAGCACCCCAAAGTCTCGCCGCCGGTAGCTGCTGCGGGCTCTCCCTTGCTCCGTGGTGTTGCCCATCCCATAGTAACCCCGGAGCAGATCAGCGAGCGGGATGGGTGCTTGGGCCACTCGCGCACCCAAGAGCACCCCATCCATCGCCCCGTTGGCGACGGCGTCAGGGATGGGTGACGGGGGTCCCAGGAGGGTGTAGTTTTGGGGGTCATCCACATTGTCCCAACAGCCACCGGGTCCCAGCGTGGCTCCATCACCACCGCGAGCCAAGAGGAACGATGTCCCCAAGGCCTCGGTGATGGTCACAGCGTAAAGAGGGTCAATGGTGGGCTCAAAGGTGGGGAAGGGCCACCCCGACCCCCTCTTTTGGCCCACCTCAATGCCGGCGAGGAGGGGCCCGAGGGCCACGGTGGAGCCGTCGGGTGCCAGCACCACAGCATCGCGGTGGAGGAGCTGCCTGAGGAGCACCCATTGGTGTTGGCTGAGCCCTGGCGGGACTGGGGGGGGCTCCCCCAGCACCGCGCGGCACCCAGGGGTGCTGCAGGCACCCAGCGCCCGTGCCAGCTCGGGGAGGGTCCGGTTGGGGCTGTCGGCGTTGAGGGCTTCCATGAGCTCAAGCACGGAGTCCATGTGGCGCGGTGGGAGACCTGTGGGGGGGGAACACGGGATGGGATACAGGAGGAGCACCCATGGGTGAAGGGGGAGCGGTAGGGGAAGGGAGGGCGGGAGCATCCATGGGGATGAGGGAGGGAGAATGGACACGAAACAGGGGGAAAGGATGCAAAAGAGGGTGAAAGGACCCAAAATGGGGGGGAAAGGACCCAAAACAGGGTAAATGGACCCAAAACACAGTGAATGGAGCCAAAACAGGGTGAATGGACCCTGAAGAGGAGAAAGGATGCTAAAGAGGGTGAAAAGACCCAAAATAGCGGGGAAATGACCCAAAACAGGATGAGAGCTTCCAAAACAGGGCGAATGGACCCAAGCCAGGGTGAGAGGACTCAAAAGAGGGTGAAAGGACCCAAAAGAGGGGAAAGGACACAAACGAAGGTGAAAAGACCCAAAACAGGGGTGAATGGACCCAAAACAGGGGGGAAAGACCCAAAACAGGATGAGAGTTTCCAAAACAGGGTGCATGGACCCAAACCGGGGTGAGAGGACCCAAAGGAGGGTGAAAGCCCCCAAACCAGGTGAAAGCACCCGGAACACGGGAGAAAATACCCAGAAAAAGGCAAATGCACCCAAAACAGGGTGAAGTCACCCAGAGCAATGTGATAAGTGTCCAGAGGAGGGCGCAAGCACCCCGGAAAAGGGTGAATGCACCTAAAGCAGGACGAAACCACCCCAAAACAGGGTGAAACCACCCAAAACGGGGTGAAACCACCCCAAAACAGGGCGAAACGACCCCAAAACGGGGCGAAACCATCCCAAACCAGAGTGCACCCCCCTCCCGAACGAGACAAAAGCACTCAAACCGGGGTGAATGCGCCCAAAACAGGGCCAGAGCACCCAAAAAGGGACAAATGCCCCCAAAACAAGGTGAAACCACCCCAAACCAGGATGAAAGCGCCCGGAGCAGAGGAACTGCACCCAAACCAGGGTGAATGGACCCAGAACAGGGGGGAAAGCACCCAGGGGTGGGTGAATGCAAGGTGAAAGCACCCAAAACAAGGGGGAATAGACCCAAAACAAGGGGGAATGGACCCAAAACAAGGTGAAACCACCCCAAAACACGGTTGAAAGCACCCAAAACAAGAGGGAATAGACACAAAACAAGGGGGAATGGACCCAAAACAAGGTGAAAACACCCCAAAACAGGGTTGAAACCACCCAAAACGGGGTGAAACCACCCCAAAACGGGGTTGAAACCACCCCAAACGGAGTGAAAGCACCCAAAACAGGGTGAAAGCACCCCAAAACGGGATTGAAACCACCCAAAACGGGGTTGAAACCACCCCAAACGGGGTGAAAGCACCCAAAACAGGGTGAAAGCACCCCAAAACGGGGTTGAAACCACCCAAAACGGGGTTGAAACCACCCCAAAACAGGGCGAAAGCACCCCAAAGCAGGGTTGAAACCACCCAAAACGGGGCGAAACGACCCCAAAACAAGGCTAAACCCCCCAAACCAGGGCAGAGGCACCCAACCTGCGGGCTCCAGCACCCATCGCCAGCACCCATCACCCAGTACCCCCCTTCCTCCCCCCCCATGGGCACAGATTTGGGCTGGAATCACCCAGATTAGGGCAAATCAAAGCAACCAGAGCCTGCCAAGGGGGCCCTGCCGTTGTCACACGTGTGTGGAGGCGTGTTGGGGCATGTTAGAGCGTGTGCTTGCGCACTGGGGTGTGTTGGGAGGTACCGAGAGATGCTGGGGCGTGTTGCGGCATGTTGTGGGGGGCTTTAGTGGGTTATGGGGTGCTTTAGCGTGGTATAGGGTGCTTTAGCGTGTTATAGGGTGCTTTAGCGTGTTATGGGGTGCTTTAGCATCTTATAGGGGGCTTTAGCATTTTATGGGGTGCTTTAGCATGTTATAGGGTGCTTTAGCGTGTTATGGGGTTCTTTATCATGTTATGGGGTGCTTTAGCATGCTATAGGGGGCTTTAGCATTTTTATGGGGTGCTTTAGCGTGTTATAGGGTGCTTTAGCATGTTATGGGGTGCTTTAGCATGTTATGGGGTGCTTTAGCGTGTTATAGGGTGCTTTAGCATGTTATGGGGTACTTTAGCGTGTTATAGGGTGCTTTAGCGTGTTATGGGGTGCTTTAGCATGTTATGGGGTGCTTTAGCATGTAGTGGTGTGTCGAGGCGTGTCCCTACCTGTGCCGGGGCGGGCGCCCATGCTGAGCACCAGGAGCAGGCTCAGGACCATGCTGCCGGCTCCGGGTCCTTCCCGTGCTGCCGGGCTCCGTGGCCCCGGACTTTGGCCCCAGCAACGGCACCGGGGCGGGGACACGGCTGCCACACGCGTGTGCTATGGGGGGCGGGGAACAACACGTGTGTAGGAGGGGCCTAGGAAGGGGCCACGCGTGTGTATGTGTGCGTGCACGTGCATGGGGGTGTATGTGCACGCGCATGCGCCTGCATGCATGCACATTTGCTTCTACATGTATGTTCATGCGTGTGCGTGCACGTTGGGGGGGAGCATGCACATGCGTGTACGCATGGGGGGATGGTCACGTGTGCATGTGCTTGTGTATGGGGTGCTTCTCCGTGTGCGTGCTGAGGAGGTGTGTTCATACGTGTACGTGGGTGTGCATACGTGTGTGTGTGCAGGGAGTGGATGGACACACATGTATGTGCCATGTAGTGCACAGGGCAGGTGCATGCATACACGTGTGAGTGTGCACACGGGTGCATATGTGTGCAAGGAGGTGAGCAGGGGTGCTGTGTGCTTGTGCGCGTGTGCATGTGTGTGCACCCATATGTGTGGCCAGCAGGACACATGTCAGGGCATGAAGCCCCCATGACACACATGTCAGAGCATGAAGCCCCCAGGACACGTATGAAGGGTTGATGCCCCCCATGACACACATGTCAAGGCATGAAGCCCCCAAAACACACATGTCAGGGCATGAAGCCCCCATGACACACGTCAGGACATGAAGCCCCAGAACACATATGAAGCGTTGATGCCCCCATGACACACATGTCAGGACATGAAGCCCCCAGGACACGTATGATGTGTTGATGCCCCCATGACACACATATCAGAGCATGAAGCCCCCATGACACATATGAAGTGTTGATGCCCCCGTGACACACATGTCAGGGCATGAAGCCCCAGGACACGTACGAAGCATTGATGCCCCCATGACACATGTCAGGACATGAAGCCCCAGAACACGTATGATGTGTTGATGCCCCCATGACACACATGTCAGGGCATGAAGCCCCCATGACACGTATGAAGGGTTGATGCCCCCCATGACACACATGTCAGGACATGAAGCCCCAGGACATGTATGAAGCGTTGATACCCCCATGAAACACGTCAGGGCATGAAGCCCCCAGGACACGTACGAAGCATTGATGCCCCCATGACACACGTCAGGACATGAAGCCCCCAGGACACACATGTCAGGGCATGAAACCCCCAGGACACGTATGATGTGTTGGTGCCCCCATGACGCACATGTCAGGGCATGAAGCCCCAGGGCACATATGAAGGGTTGATGCCCCCATGACACACATGTCAGAGCATGAAGCCCCCATGACACGTATGAAGGGTTGATGCCCCCATGACACATGTCAGGACATGAAGCCCCCAGGACACACATGTCAGGGCATGAAACCCCCAGGACACGTATGATGTGTTGATGCCCCCATGACGCACATGTCAGGGCATGAAGCCCCAGGGCACATATGAAGGGTTGATGACCCCATGACACACATGTCAGGACATGAAGCCCCCAGGACACACATGTCAGGGCATGAAGCCCCAGGACACGTATGAAGCGTTGATGCTCCCATAACACACATGTCAGGGCATGAAGCTCCATGACACGTATGAAGGGTTGATGCCCCCGTGACACACGTCAGGGCATGAAGCCCCCATAACACACATGTCAGGGCATGAAGCCCCCATAACACACATGTCAGGACATGAAGCCCCCAGGACACGTATGAAGCGTTGATACCCCCATGACACACATGTCAGGGCATGAAGCCCCAGGACACGTATGAAGCGTTGATGCTCCCATAACACACATGTCAGGGCATGAAGCCCCCATAACACACATGTCAGGGCATGAAGCCCCCATAACACACATGTCAGGGCATGAAGCCCCATGACAAGTATGAAGGGTTGATGCCCCCATGACACACGTCATGGCATGAAGCCCCCATGACACACATGTCAGGACATAAAGCCCCAGGGCACATATGAAGGGTTGATGACTCCATGACACATGTCAGGGCATGAAGCCCCCATAACACACATGTCAGGGCATGAAGCCCCCATAACACACATGTCAGGACATGAAGCCCCCAGGACACGTATGAAGCGTTGATACCCCCATGACACACATGTCAGGGCATGAAGCCCCCATGACACATATGAAGGGTTGATGCCCCCATGACACACATGTCAGGACATGAAGCCCCCAGGACACGTATGATGTGTTGATGCCCCCATGACGCACATGTCAGGGCATGAAGCCCCAGGGCACATATGAAGGGTTGATGACCCCATGACACACATGTCAGGGCATGAAGCCCCAGGGCATGTATGAACCGTTGATAACCCCATGACACACATGTCAGGGCATGAAGCCCCAGGACACATATGAAGCGTTGATGCTCCCATAACACACATGTCAGGGCATGAAGCCCCAGGACACATATGAAGCGTTGATGCTCCCATAACACACATGTCAGGGCATGAAGCCCCATGACACGTATGAAGGGGTGATGCCCCCATGATACACGTCAGGGCATGAAGCCCCCATGACACACATGTCAGGGCATGAAGCCCCAGGACACGTATGAAGGGTTGATGCCCCCATGACACACGTCAGGGCATGAAGCCCCCATAACACACATGTCAGGGCATGAAGCCCCCATAACACACATGTCAGGACATGAACCCCCCAGGACACGTATGAAGCGTTGATACCCCCATGACACACATGTCAGGGCATGAAGCCCCCAGGACACGTATGAAGCGTTGATACCCCCATGACACACATGTCAGGGCATGAAGCCCCCATAACACACATGTCAGGACATGAAGCCCCCAGGACACGTATGAAGCGTTGATACCCCCATGACACACATGTCAGGGCATGAAGTCCCCAGGACACGTATGAAGGGTCGATACCCCCATGGCACACATGTCAGGACATGAAGCCCCCAGGACACGTATGAAGCGTTGATACCCCCATGACACACATGTCAGGGCATGAAGCCCCCAGGACACGTATGAAGGGTCGATGCCCCCATGACACACATGTCAGGGCATGAAGCCCCCAGGACACGTATGAAGGGTCGATACCCCCATGACACACATGACGCCACCGCCGCCGCCGTGACCCCGCACTGGTGACACGTGACGAGGCGGTTCCGTGGCCTTTGCCCTGTTCCTTGGCGTGTCCTTGGCGTGTCCTTGGCGTGTCCTTGGCGTGTCCCCGCCCGGGCCCATGGCGCTGGGGCCGCTGCTGGCGCTGGCGCTGGCGCTGGGGGGGCTCTGGGGCTCCCTGCGCCTCCTCTCCCGCGCCCGGGACACGTGCGGGCACCTCCGAGGTTTCCCGCGCCCGCCATGGCGCGGCTGGCTCCTGGGGCACGCGGGAATGGTGAGGGGGGGGGCAAAGGGGGGCAGCGACGGGCGGCAATGGGGGGCAATGGGGCGGCAACGGGGCGGCAATGGGGGGCAGAGACGGGCGGCAATGGGGGGCAATGGGGGAAACAACAGGGCGGCAACGGGGGGGCAATGGGGGACAGCGACGGGCGGCAATGGGGGACAGTGGGGGGCAACGGGGGGGCAGAGACGGGCGGGCAGAGACGGGCGGCAGTGGGGGACAATGGGAGGGGACAACGGGGCGGCAACGGGGGGGCAATGGGGGTGCAATGGGGGGGCAGAGACGGGCGGCAATGGGGGGCAATGGGGGAAACAACGGCGCGGCAACGGGGGGGCAGCGACGGGCGGCAATGGGGGGCAATGGGAGGGACAACAGGGCGGCAACGGGGGGGGGCAATGGGGGTGCAATGGGGGGGCAGAGACGGGCGGCAATGGGGGGCAATGGGGGGACAACGGGGCGGCAACGGGGGGGCAATGGGGGTGCAATGGGGGGCAGAGACGGGCGGCAATGGGGGGCAATGGGGCGGCAACGGGGCGGCAATGGGGGGCAATGGGAGGGACAACAGGGCGGCAACGGGGGGGGCAATGGGGGTGCAATGGGGGGGCAGAGACGGGCGGCAATGGGGGAAACAACGGGGCGGCAATGGGGGGCAGAGACGGGCGGCAATGGGGGGCAATGGGGCGGCAACGGGGCGGCAACGGAAGGGCAATGGGGGGCAATGGGGGGGGACAACGGGGCGGCAATGGGGGTGCAATGGGGGGGCAGGGACGGGGGGCAGAGACGGGCGGCAATGGGGGGCAACAGGGGGAAACAACGGGGCGGCAACGGGGGTGCAGTGGGGGGGCAGAGACGGGGGGCAATGGGGGGCAGAGACGGGCGGCAATGGGGGGCAACGGGGGGAAACAACGGGGCGGCAACGGGGGGGCAATGGGGGTGCGATGGGGGGGCAGAGACGGGCGGCAATGGGGGGCAATGGGGGGGGCAATGGGGGGGCAGCGACGGGCAGCAATGGGGGGCAACGGGGGACAATTTGGGGGCAGCGACCGTCGGCGATGCGGGGCAATGGGGGACAATAGGGGGCAGCGACGGGCGGCAGTGTGGGGCAACTGGGGACAATGGGGGCAGCGATGGGCGGCAAGGGGGGGCAATGGGGGGACAGCGACGGGCGGCAATGTGGGACAATGGGGGGCAGCGACGGGGGGCAATGGAGGACAATGGGGGACGTCGCACAATGGGGGGCAGCGACGGGGGGCAAAGGGGGACAACGGGGGGGGCAATGGGGGGGTAGCGACGGCCGGCAATAGGGGGTAATTCGGGACAATGGGGGGGGCAAGAGGGGGGCAGCGACGGGGGGCAATGGGGGGACAACGGGGCGGCAACGGGGGAGGGCAGGGACAGGCGGCAATAGGTCAGCAATGGGGGGATAATGGGGGGCCAACGGGTGGACAACGATGGGGCCTGGGGGACACAACCGTCATCAGTGGGGGGACAGCGAGAGGCAACAGCAGGGGGACAAGAGAGGACAAGGGGGAATGAGATGGGACAATGGGGCGGCAATGGGGGGGGGGGACAAGAGCAGACAAGGGGGGGCGGCG